CGCATGGGCGGGCGCATGGGCAGGCGCATGGTCGGGCGCATGGTCGGGCGCATGGTCGGGCGCATGGTCGGGCGCATGGTCGGGCGACAACAGTTATAGATAAAAAGCACGTGGCACTGTGACGATTTGAAAGGGCAGGCGATGGTAGCACACAACACTAGAGCGGCGAGCTAGCAGGCAAGGGGACGAGGTAAGGAAGGGGCGCGGGCATTCTACTCTACCCCCTACGACTCTAGTTTGAGCTCAAGCCACCATAGTGCCATGCGCTACCATCGTCAAAACGCCGCTCATCTCTCTCTCGACTTTTGATCGCTCGCATTCGAAAGTGACCTCGTTTGTTTCGAGCATGCGGTGACGAAAGAATGCAGTACAACAGTGGGCAATCATAAAGACGAAGCAGAAGCGGCAAGGATGGCAAGGGCGAAGGGAGAGGGAACTTAGTCGTATGGGGTTGTTTGCAGGACAGTGGCGACAGACTTCCAGGAGGCTAAAAAAAACCCCTGTGACTGCCTGCCGTGCGTCATCCCACCGCCCTCCCTCTCCGCACCACGCTGTCACAGCCCTGTGCGAGAGAGGAAAATCTTAGGAGAGGGAAGGGAGCGAGTATGAGAGAGGAGAGAAGGCAGAAGGGGGCAGGAATTGTAGAAAGTTTGTCTAATATAAGCATGGGCGCAATTGAAACGAAACGGAGGCATATTACTGTGAGAGTAAAAGCTGGAAGTTAAACAACAGGTGGCACTGTGAAAGGGTAGGCGATGGTAGCTCATGGCACTAGGTTGGCGAGCTAGCAGGCAAGTGGGACACGCAAACGTTTTTAATACCTTCATGCGAAGGCGGCGTTTTGGTTCGAAGCATGCTTAAAAAGAGAGGCTGGGCAAATATGAACACGAATTACAATGTAAAGCGGCGGTAAGGATGGCAAGGGTTGAGGAGGGAACTTAGCGGGATTCAGAAGCTGCTCGTCGCCTTGTCAATGCCAGCCGCAGCCCTCCCAGCAGCGACACTCCCGGCAGCAACACTCCCAGCAGCAGCACTCAAGGTCGCTGGGCGCGTGAGGGAGCGACGTGGTCAGCAGGGCATGCAGGAGGCACGCACGCCGCCGTGACTGCCTGCCGTGCGTCATCCCACCGCCCTCCCTCCCCGCATCACGCTGCCGCAGCCCTGTGCGAGAGGGGGAAAGTTTCGGAGAGGGAAGGGAGCGGGTGGGAGAGAGGAGAGAAGGCAGAAGGGGGCAGGAATTGAAGAAGTTAGTCTAACATAAGCATGGGCGTGATTGTGAAATTGTAAAGCGGCAGGGATAACGGCAGGAAAACAAAACGGAGGCATAATACTGTGAGAGAGTAAAAGCTGGAAGTTAAACAACAGGTGGCACAGTGAAAGGGTAGGCGATGGTAGCTCATGGCACTAGGTTGGCGAGCTAGCAGGCAAGGGGGAGGAGATGCGGGCGTGAGTGTGAGTGCATTCTAACCCTCTAGGACTCTAGTGTGAGCTCAAGCCGCCCCAGTGCCATGTGCTACCATCGCCACACACCGCCCATATCCCTCAGTCAACTTTCAATCCCTCCCAAGCAAAAGCAACGTTTTTGTTTCGGGCAAGATTCGATAAGCGAAAGAAGAAAGGAGAAGAAGCAGGAAGAAGAGAGGGTATGAGGAACTCTTAGCCGGGTGACGAGCAGTCGCATGAGGAGCAGAGGGATCTTGACACGGCCAGCAGCAGCCCTCCCTGCAGTAGTCCAGCAACTCGGCAGCAGTGGTCAGCAGGGCCAGCCCAGGCCGTGCGTCATCCCACCGCTCGCCTCTCCCGCTCACCACGCTGCTCCCACTGCTCCTCCTGGCCCCCTGCTGCTGCCCTGCCGCCTTGTAGGTGCGCTGATAGAGGGATGCAGGCAGGAAGAGAGGAGAAGAGGGACACACGTTAACGGAGCAGAGAGTTGAGGTGAGACGACAAGTGATATCATAAGCAGGGGGTACGCAAGTGGCAGAAGGATAAAACGGCAAGCATGCATGCAACAAAAAACGGCAAGCATGCATGCAACAAAAAACGGCAAGCATGCATGCAACAAAAAACGGCAAGCATGCATGCAGTGAATGGTGAGCAGAGCGGAACGGCAAGTTAGTGGTCGGGGAGAGGTGGGAGGGGAAGGCGCATGGAGACGGTGGGGCCAAGGGCAGCACGGCAGCGAGCAAAGGCAGCGAGGGGGGACTGGGGAAGAGAGAGACGCGAGCATGGCATGAATGCACTGCTACTCTATGCTACACCCACTCTCTCTCTCTCTCTCTCTCTCTGGACTCTATATGAGCTCAGCTGCCAATGCGCCCGGACCCACCGCCGCCATGCGCCTCACAGGAGCACATTTCTTTGGGACGTGAAACGCAGGATGCAGCAACACAACAGAGTGGTGCAACGACAAGGGCGGGTGGGGGCAAGAGAGGAGTGCAAGTGTTGAGGAGGAAACTTAAGCAGGATTCAGAAGTTGCACGTAGCTTTCCGCAAGTCGCTTTCCGCACGTCGCTTTCCGCTCGTCCCTTTCCGCACCTCGTTTTCCGCACGCCGTTTTCCGCACGTCGCTTTCCGCACGTCGCTTTCCGCACGTCGCTTTCCGCACGTCGCTTTCCGCACGTCGCTTCCACACGTCGCTTTCCGCACGTCGCTTTCCGCAAGGCGCTTTCCGCACGTCGCTTTCCGCACGTCGCTTTCCGCACGTCGCTTTTCGCACGTCGCTTTCCGCTCGTCGCTTTCCGCAAGTCGATTTCCGCACGTAGCTTTCCGCACGTCGCTTTGAAAATGTCAGCAGCAACACCCGCAGTCTCGGTCCCTTTTCAAAAATCGTCGCTTCGATCGTCACCGTGAGAAGCCGCACTGTTGATCGTCACCGTCCGAAGACACCATCTCCGTCGTCGCCGTCAGAAAGCGTCGCTTAGATCGTCAACGTTCGCAATCCTGATCGTCGCCGTCGGAACTTGTCACTTCAATCGTCACCGTCGAAGAAGCATCGCTTTGATAGTCACTGTGAGAAATCGCAAGCCTGGTCGTTACCGTCGGAAAGAGTCGCTCCGATCGTCACCGTGGGAAAGTGTCACTTCAATCGTCACTGCTAGATATCGTCGGTTCCGTCGTCAGAGTCGGCACTAGTACTTTTCGTCACCGTCAGAAGCGGCCGTGACTTGACAGTCTCAGCTACCACCGTTGGAAGTGGCCGTGTCGTTCGCCACCGTTAAAACGCATCGTCTCAGTCACCACCGTTAGATAGCGACGTCTCGCTATTCGACGTCCGAGATGCTCATTGCTAGCCTCGTAAGATCATTCGGAAAGCTGTCGCCGGCACGATATCAGCCTCGGTCATCACCAAATGGAACCTTTCTCGCTGCTGGAGAGCGCCGACGCTTCGCTAATTGAAGGAGCGCATGGAGATCGGAAGAAGATGTATGAGAAATCTCAGCAAACAACCTCTGTTCCGCGCTCGTCAGATGTCTAGAATACTCGGTCTAAGTTGTTCCGAAATACTGGAATAGAAATCAGAACTGCAGTCAAGTGAGAGTAATGCGTCGATGACGGACATAAAACTGCTCCAAATGACTACAGCATCTAAGCTTGGAATATCTCTGTCCGACTAGAACACACGTAATGATCGGTTTTCTTCTTAACGATGGCTACGACTAAGGTTAAAAGGCTACTGGTTCGCGTCAGGAGACACAGCCATGGATTGCAACGATTCGTAATCTCCGTCTTGTCGACCTTTAGATAAACATATCTGAAGAGTACAAGGGGCAAGACTATGATTGATAACCATTAATGGTGTGTAACAAATAGCGGCAGCCATGGACGTCGGCTTAGCTAGCTTATACTGACGGAATCCGTGAGCAAGCTGCTGTGAGCAAGACAAGGAATGGCATTCAGGGAAGGTGGAAAAAGGATTAGGAAGAGAGAAAGAGGCAATCATCAGTCAAAAAACAGTCGGCTTCAGTGGTGAAATTCAGGGTCCAGACGGATTCAGAGTGGTGAATGAGTTCACAGAGGCGACAAGAATCCATTTCCCCTGCTCAGGTGCAGGCCGCCGCACCGTCGGCGGATGTACATCTTCGTGAAAGCGTTGTTGACGGGGATACTCGCTTCGCTTGGAGAACATACGACTCGCGAAATTTTGAGTTGAGTTTTGCGAGGATATCCTTGGAATTTCCGCAGCATGTCGGTTCCGCAGCCCCGCCGTTTGAGCGGGAATCGCCTGTCAGAAGCGCAAGGTTCTGACACAACGCCGTGATGTAATGTAGTGCTTCATGTCTCATATTTGTTTGTGAACACACAAAATTGCCGAAACATGTCTGTACCGAAACAATGGCACCCGATACACCATTATAAATCACCATCACTGTTAGGCCCCAGACGGAATTATGTTTCCTGTTTTCCCAGACAGAATCTACACTTAGTGGGAGGGGGGAGGAGCCTACTCTGACGCCTTTAGGAGCTTACTTTTGTGCATAAAGCTACTAAAAGCAACACTATCAAGCCTCCTACAGTATATACGGCAGATGCAACTCATCTTACTTCTTGCAGGACATTAGTAGGTACGCAAAGGCGGTCAACCAGTAGCAACTCAAGGGTCACATGCCTAGCAAAAAGCACATAGAAAGAAACAAATAAGGATGTTAAGTTATGCTAGATGTTATTTTGCTACACGGCCTCGGAGCAACCGTGGAGTAAAGCTATGAGAGCAACTCGTGCAAGCACAACAACACAAGTCAGGTACACCAGTGCACTGGTGGCAGGGTGTGAGCGAGTGAAAAACAGGTAGAAAATAGCAAGGACTGGGGAGGGGATGAGTGCAGAAGATAGGTGGTAAGAGGGAGAGGATGTAACAGAACAGGAATGAAATGGCGGGTATGGGGAGGTATGGAGACACGAGTGGTGCGGTGTGCGGCAAAGCACATGAGCACAGGAGCACACACTCCAAGGCAGCATGCAGCTGACCGTGTGCTGCTGGTGCCGCAACCAGCACAATAGGGCTACTCGTTGCCTCCCTCCTCCTCTTCCTCATCCTCCTCCTCCTCCTCCTCGTCCTCCTCCTCGCTCTCCTGCTGCCCGCCATGCCCTTTCCCCGCTGTCTTCTTCCGCACAAACTGCCCCTTCACCCGTGGTCGCATCTCCGCAAGTCGCTTTCTGCTCACGTACCGAATCTTTTTCTCAAAACACCGATCCTTGCGCTTCTGCCTGAATTTGTTCAGAGCTGCCTCCCGACGCTGGTATCCCTCCACCCGCCTCTCCATCAACCCATCCCCTCCTGCACTTGCCCCTCCCCCTCCCACTGCACCCACCACCCCTCCCCCCATTCCTCCCATCCCTCCCATTGGCCCCATTCCCCCCATTCCCCCCAATGCCCCCATCCCTCCCATTCCTCCCAAACCTCCCATCCCTCCTGCTCCTCCCATTCCACCCATTCCGCCTGCTGCCCCCCCAGCAGCAGCGTCAGCAGCAGAAGCTGGATTGAAAAGCATGGCAGCAGCAGATGGGTCAGGCCATGAAGGGAAAGGCATCGTTGGGTTGTATGCACCCATGCCACTCCCCCCTGCCGCTGCTGCCGCTGCAGCTGCAGCGGCTGCTGCTCCCGGTGCTAGAAACTGTGCCGCTGCTGTCATTCCCGGAAAAGGCGGGGAGGGAGGTATGGCTGGAGCAGCAGCGAGGGACGAGAGGAAAGAGAAAGGGTTTGTAGGAGGGAGGGAGGAAGGGAGAGGGAGGGTAGTGTGTGCGTTGTTGGATGATGCAGCAGCTGCTGCGGCTGCGGCTGCAAGGGCTTCGGGGGGGAGGCGAGAGAAGGCTGCGGCGGCTGCTGCTGCTGCATCAGGAGGGAGATGGGCGAACGTTGCTGCTGCTGCTGCTAGAGCATGCGAATGGTGGGACGGCCGATACTGCTGCTGTTGCTGCTGGGTCTGCTGCTGTTGTTGCAGCTGCTGCTGCTGCTGCATTTGCTGCATGGCATTGCCAGCAGCAGCGGCTGCTAGTGATTGCACGATGGGATGTTGTGGTGGAAGGCCCGATGCAGCAGCAGCGGCGGCAGCAGCAGCCGCAGCTACCGCGAGGTTGGAGGGAAGAGAGAGAGCAGGCACGGAGGGAGGCGAGTGGAAATCAGGCTGCTGCTGCTGCTGCTGCTGCTGCTGTTGGTGCTGTTGGTGCTGTTGCTGCTGCTGCTGCTGCTGCTGCTGCTGCTGCTGCTGCTGCTGCTGCTGCTGCTGCTGCTGCTGCTGCTGCTGCTGCTGCTGCTGCTGCTGCTGCTGCTGCTGCTGCTGCTGCTGCTGCTGCTGCTGCTGCTGCTGCTGCTGCTGCTGCTGCTGCTGTTGCTGCTGTTGGTGCTGTTGCTGCTGTTGCTGCTGTTGCTGTTGTTGCTGCTGTTGCTGCATCTGCTGAGTGGGGAAGCAGCGATCGGGAGTAGCGTGGGAGGGAGTAGCGTGCTGGGCAGAAAAGACGTCCGACGAGGAGTGCGTGTGGGCGTGGTGAGCAGGTGGGTACGGAGAGTGATCCCGTAGCGACGCCGGTGGCAGCACGGTGGGCCGCGGGAAGGCAGGCGCTGCCTGGCGTTGCGCTGCGGCAGTAGCAGCAGCTGCTGCAGCGGCCGTAGCTGCAGCGGCAGTAGCAGAGGAGGCAGCAGCAGCGCTGGCAGCAGCAGATGGAGGACAGGGAGCAGACGCAGCAGAGGGCGTGGCAGCAGGAGAGGGAGCAGGGGAGGGCGACTTAACACCTGGCCCCAACCCCTGCCCAGTCCCACGCCCTGACCCATGCTCCACGCGTGCTGCCCCGGACAGCTGCCTCTTGTAACCCGCCAAGCTGCCCGAGCCGCCACGCAGGCCGGCGGGCAGGTTCGGCGATCCGGCACGGAGGCTCGGAGCAGGAGCAGGCATGGCGGGCGGGGAGTGGGGGAGGGAGTGGGGGAGGTACCCCCGGAGGCCACTGCGATCAATCATATGGTTCCAGAAGGCAGCGCTGTGCCCAGCTACAAGGCTGCCGCTGCTGCCGCCACTCACATTCACCTCTGCGCCCCCGCCATCCCTAGCCGTGCCGTTGCCTGTGCCATGTGCCATGCTCTGCGCCATGCTGTGAGCCATGCTGTGCGCCCCCTGCGTTCCATCTCGGCCTGCCCTGCCTTCCCCTCCCAGTGAAGCCCCCGCCAGTTCCGCGCCTTTACCCCTTCCCCCGCCACACAGCCCAGCAGCAGGGCGCGGGTGCATCCCCGCAGGGCTTGCAGGCGCGCGCGCAGCTGCTCGTGAGGCCGTCCGCGGAGGTGTGGCGCTGGCGGCGGGGGATGGGGGACTGCCCCCGCCCCGCCTCGCGGTTGCGACACTTTTTCTTGCTGCTGCCTCGCCCTGCTGCTGCAGCTGCTGCTGCTGCTGCTGCTGCTGCTGCTGCTGCTGCTGCTGCTGTTGCTGCTGTTGCTGCTGTTGTTGTTGCTTCTTCACGTCACTCCCCGCCATCCTCCCCCGCCCTGCCATCGCCTCGCAACCTCCCCGTTTCAAAGCAGAAGCAGCATTAGACCCAGCAGCACCACCCGCCTTCGGGACCAGCCGTACGGGCGACGCCCGTCGTCCGGCTAACGGCAGCTCCGTCGCGGGCGCGGGTTCCGCGCGCTTATCCTCTACGCGCTTGTCCCCCGCGCCCTGCGCCGCGCTCCTCTCCGCGGCCTGCTCCGCGCTCGCTGAACGACTCAGCGCAGAGCGCGCGGCGGTTGCGGCGCGCGCAGCAGCAGTGGTAGCAGTCGCGGCCGCAGGCGCGGGGGCAGGAGCGGGCGGGCTTTCGGACAGGCGGAGTTCGGGAGGGCGGGCGGTGGAAGCGGAGGGGAGGATGGGCTGACTGATGGTGCGCGTGGGGAGCGCGAGGTGCGCGGGGGAGTGAAGAGAGGGCGCAGACGGCGCAGAGGGGAGCGAGGGCGCGAGGCGGAAGGGCAGAAGGGGACTGGAGGGCGGGAGCAGAGTGGCAACAGCCGCGGAGCCAGGCGGCTGGGGGGAGGCGCGCGTGGGGAGCACGCGGGAGGTGTGGAGGGGCGGGGAGGGCTGGAGCGCAGATGCGCGGGTGGGGGAGGAGGGAGGGCGGGCGGAGGAAAAGAGAGGCGCGGAGGTGGGTTCGTGGGAGGCTGCTCGGCGCAGCATCATTTGGTGGGGCGGTGGGGGGAAAGGGTGCGCGGTGGCGGGAATGGCGGAAGATAAGGAGAGGGCTGCTGCTGCTGCTGTTGCTGCTGCACTCGCGGCACCGGCATCGCCAGCTCGTGCAACATCATTGGTTGTTGTAGCTGCAACTGCGGCGGCGCGTGTGTCGCGCGGAGGCGCAGATGCGACGGCGGCCACCGCGGAGGTGCAGAGCGCGAGGAGAGTGGCGGCCATTGCGGGGGGCATGGAAGGGCGTGAGGTCTCAAGCGCGGCTCGGTCGGGCGGCAGACGACGCTCGGACGCAAATTGTACGTCCAACGGCAACGCGACACGTGGCAGCATGAGCGAGAGCTCGAGCGCAGGCATTGGCTGTTGGAGAGGGTGCGAAAACGACAAAGAGAGAGAAGGGAAGGATGAGAATGAGGGGAAGTGACAAGGCCGAAAAGAGGAGCGGTGACGTCTAGCAGGAAGGACGAAAAGAGCAGCGGAGATGGCGGAGAGAAGGGGAAGGGGAGGGGAGGGGAGGGAGAAGCGGGTTGGGACGATATAAGGAATTGAAGAGGTCGAGGAGGGCGGAGGGAAAGACCCGCCTATAGAGGGCCGGGGTGAACGGCGGAGAAGCGGGCGCGCGCTTACCTGCGGCTGGCCCTCAACCTCCTCCCGCTCCGCCCTGTCCTGCGCGCCGAGCTTGCTCCTCCTCTCCTGCGCTCCACCGTGCGCCACTCCGCAGGCTCCTCCCGCCGCGCCCCGCTCTCGCTGCGCCGCCACGTGTCGCCGCTTGAACGGCTGCTCATCCGCGTCGCTCTCTTCCCTCTCTTCCCCTTTCTCCCCTCCCGCTTCTCCCGCTCCGGGAGCGTCTCGCGTCTCCAGCAGCATGAGCTCGCATCGCTGCTGCCCACCCTCCTCCGCCTCCGCCTGCTCTCTCTCCTGCCGCTCCAATATCATCTCCACTTCCTCCCCCTCCCCCTCCCCCTCCGCCACCTCGTCTTCCTCCCCCATCTCTTTCCCCTCTCCCCCCTGCTCCCCCACCACTTTCACAACCTCCTTCTTTTCCTTCCGCAGCAGCTCCTGCTCCCTGTGCTCCTTCTGCTCCTTCTGTTGCTCCTGCCGCACAAGCTGCTGCCGCCTCTGCGCCTGCACCTGCTCCTGCTGCTGCTCCAGCTCATGCAACTGCTGCTGCTGCTCCTGCTGCTCCTGAAGCTGCTGCTGCAGGTGCTGTTGCTGCACGCTGCTGCGGCGCTTATCGTCCGTCTCTTCAGAAAACAGGTCCGTGCTGCCGGTGCCCGTGTTCGACTCGCTCGTATCCACGAACACCAGGTCGTGCGCCACCTCGCTTGCGCTCACCGCCATCATGCTCCGCGGAGCCTCCCCCAACCCCACCTGCGCGCACGAGGGGAAGCGGATTGGCCAGATGAGTACAGGGCGGGACTTGCGAGGGACCGCGAACAGAAAGTCAGCGACGCGAGTGAGCAAGAATTCAACGGCGCGAGTAAACAAGTCGACGGCGCGAGTAAATAACAGGTCAACGTTGCGAGTGAACAAAAGCGTGGAAACAGTCGAAAGGCAGAGCGGGTCGAGGGAGGAAACCGAAGAGTGCGGAGAGTGCGGAGAGGGCGAAGAGTGCGGAGAGGGCGGAGAGTGCTCACGGATCGGCGGCGGCGCCACATGTGCGTCCAGAGGTTGAGGAGCTCGTTGGTGCGCAGCGGCTTCACGAGAAAGTCCGCGGCTCCGAGGCGCAAACACTTGACGACGATCGCCATCTCGTCGCGCGTCGACATCACTGCGCGCCGTGCAAGGAGACGGGCCACGAGATAAGAGGGGCGGGCGGGAGGGGAGAGGAGAGGAAAGAGAGAGAGGGGGGGAGGAAGAAGGAAGGAGAGGGAAAAACAAGATGCGTATGAGAAAGGTCCGCCCAAGAGCAGAACGCGTCGGAGAACCGAGCCGGAAAGAAGATTTACAGCTGGCAGCGATGATGACAGCCGGCAGCGACGGAGGCATGCCAGGCAGGAACAAAGCGGAATGACGTTAACTGACTGACGTTAGCCGACCGACGTTAACGGACTGACGATAGCCGACCAGTGCGTCGACCGACGCTAGCCGACGAACGGTAAATGACAGACGCTAGGAGACCGAAGTTAGCCGACAGACGCTAGCTGAGAGACTATCCGTGAGCGTGGGTAGCGGAGCACGTACTGACGATGGGAATGTTTTTGAGGCGCTCCTCGCGCATGATGATCTTGAGCATCTTGTACCCCTTGCCGTTCGGCAGCTCCACCTCCGCCAGAATCAAATCTATCGAGTCGCTCGACGACCGCAGCAGCTGCAGCGCCAGTCGCGCGTTCTCAACGGCCGTGACTGGAGAAGGAAGGGGGTTCAGGAAGGCGGCGATGTAGGAACGAGAGACGTTGATATAATTGAAAGATACTGAATCGGTTGATCGAAGCAGGCACATAACTTGGTACGTGGCATGTCGTGAATCGACGGAAGGGGACTCAAGGTGACGAATTAAGACGTATTTTCTACGTGAAAACGTCTGAAAACGTGTGAGAACGAAATAATATATAAGAAAATCGATCAAAGGAATCTGTCGCAAGGCGGAAGCGGCGGCGCTGACGCACCTCGGTACGAACAGCGGCGAAGCAGCTCGAGAACATTTTGACGTGACTCCGTGTCCTTATCCGACAGCAGGATGTGCACGTTGCTCCTCTGAAACGTCGCTACGTCGCATGGCCGGCGCTGCTCCTGGCCGGCCGATGGCACGATGGCTCCTGACATGAATTTGGTGCGTTCTGATAAATACTATTCTAGTAAAGTCACGCGTTATGACGAACAGTTTGTAACGAAATATATCCGTACCATTCTACACTGCCTTGATACTATAACAGCTGGTGCAGGCTAAGCAGATACGCAGAGCTTACTATCAACAAGAACGCAGTTCAAAGCTGTGAATGGAACGCTGGCAAGTGTGAGAGTGATCTACTGGAGCTAAGATTAGAGCAGACCCGTAGAGAGGAGATGTGGGGGACGGAGGTTGAGTGGGGGATGAGGAAAGAAGACGGGCAGGGAAGGAGATGGAAGATCCAATACGCACGGGAGAGTGGTTCACAGGAAGGCAGACCTCTCGCGTGGGGGAGTCTGACAGCAACGCGACAGAGAAACCCTCAGCTTCCGGTGGCTGCCCCCCTACAAAAGAAATATCTGAACCCACGGATCTGTATCTCCTGGACGTTGGAAAAAGTGGGAGCTTTTTTTGTTCGGGGAGGTTGTCTTTCGCTGACACGTGGAATGAAGCAATGGACGCAATGCGGACAACTGGGCTTAGCCATTCTCTGGGCTGCGTGTGACGTGGAGGCTAACGTTCCCTGACTTACCCCAACCTCCACCAAACCAAGGAAATTTATGGTCAGCACTAAAAGCATACAACGAAAAGGTCCCGCCCCAACCATTATATCGAATAAACTATATATTATGCAGCACTAACTTTGTTGTTTGCTTCAATACATTGCTATCTGAAGTGGAAAGGTGGCTGCGAAGCCCGATCAAACGGGTAGAAAATTGCTTATGATCAAACCCACTCAATGTGACTGCTGCATGACACGTGGATGGAATGCATGTCAACCTTTTGAACGGGACGTAAAATATCTAACGAGCTTGTGTGCCCCAAACCCCAAGAAGTATCTTTATCTCTCTATCTTGCGGCCAAACAGATTGCCTCTCCGCCACAACTAGGATATTTAAAATGCGTCTGGATCGTTTTGTGGCTTGAAGGAGCTCTTCCATCATCACCAGCCACGAATGCCAAATGGATGAATTTATGCTCCTGGCTGCGGGAAGTTGTCCCGGCTGTTCAACTGTTCAACTCCTGCACGCGGAAAAGCTGGGCTAGGAAAGCCAGGTTGTGCTACTACAGAGCGGTGATGCTAAAGGAGTTGCATGTGCACAGCGAGCAGCCGACAGGAAGAAAATATCTGCACTTTTTTATAAAATATCTGGGACTTTTCGAGTGCTGTTGGTGGCTGTGGAGCTGCAAAGGAAATATCCAAAGGGATAACGGGCAGCTCCTATGTCATGGTTCATGTGTCCGTGGCATTCGAAATGAATGGCCGAGATGCTTCCGTTAGCGGCTGGACACCAGAGTTCTGCACCAAGAAGCGTGGGCAAGAGGGAAAGTCTGTCAGAGGCTGACGTGACGGAAATGCAGGTTCAGGAGTGGACAGAGCTAGGGTTTCATCCATCCACCATGCGGGAACCACACCAGCTCGCCGTCACCATTCTGCTTCTCTTCGCTTCTCTTCTCTTCCCTTCTAGAGAGTTCATCATCAGCATTTCCTGTGAACAGTGACTTGCTCTCATCAGCAGTTGTCTAGGGAATGCTTCCTTATCAGCGAGTTCCTAGAGCAAACCCTCATCCGTAGTCTCATGTCTCCAGTTCTTGTCAAGTAGCTATTGGTCCCAGTAATCTCATAACTCCTTACTAACAGGCCATGATTACATCCGTGAGATTTATCGGGGATATTCTTGCGGGCGTTTACCCTAGTGCTAGCAGGTTCTTATTGTTTCACCGTAGATGCCGCACCTAGGCTCCATGGTTGGCCACCGCCTACTTAGATTCAAGCTTAAGTTGTTCTGGGCCGAGATTTTACGCCATTTCGATCCAGGTCGGCTCGATTCATCGTAGTCTGAAGCCTCGGACGCTAGTTGCTGTGCTTTTGGCAGCTTGAAACTGGTTGCGCTTGATCTGTATCGTGAAATCTCCACCTCTCAGCAATCAGCGACAGATACGTCTACTCGTCAGGGTCCCGAGTAGTGGTAAGAATCTGTCAGCTATTTACACGCAGCATTTTTTAATAGCGTGGTTGAAAGCGGGTAGTTGTCCTGACTTTAGTGTTAGCAACTCACGGCAATGGAGTGGTCGAGCGATTCAGACGACGAGTCCGGGATGAGCGGCTTCGGACCTATCGGAATCGGGGGTGCTGGCAGCAGCATTAGCAAGGACGGTGTAGCAGCAACAGGGGACGTCAATAGTGACTTAGACGTAGTGAGATTGTTGCCGTCATTCCTGCGAGGAGTTAGCGACGAGAGTAGACGGACGATTGAGGGCCTTATGGCGACGAAGCCGTGCGGGCTGATAGTGTCAGACGCGTTAGAACCGGACCATCCTATCATCTATGTGAATAGTGTGTTCGAGCGCCTGACGGGTTACACGGCGGAAGATATTCTTGGACGGAATTGGTACGCGCATGCTGACGTTTACTGGCATTCTTAAACATCTCGTTCATCGCGGTGTCTCTTTTCGTGTTTCCGTCGCTCGTTTTTCCCTTCCGTCACCACAAATCCACGTCCTTCTGAACTCCTTTTTTTTTGTTCGTCTGTCGCGCAGTCGGTTCCTTCAGTATCGCGGGGCATTCGCGCAGCGGCCGCACTCTCTCGTGAATCCCGCCACCGTCGCGAGGTTACGCCAGTGCATCGCAGAAGGCCGTGAGTTCTGCGGGGAGATCCTCAATTTCCGCAAGGACGGTAGCGCCATCATGAATACCCTCTGCATCGCGCCGATTCGCGGAAGCGACACTAGCACAGTTACCCATTTCGTTGGGGTGCAGTCTTTCGCAGAAACCAACGTCGAGCTCGGCCCGTTGCCAGGCCCGCCGCACAAGGAGCCGCAGCATCTGCCTATGTCGGGGGCGGCAGCCTCAGCCGCCGCCGCCGCCGCAGCCGCTGTGGTTGCATCTCGGTGGCCACCCTCTAGACAGCCCGGACCGCTCTCCGACCGGTTGCCAGCCGGTTCAGTTGTCGGCTCTTCTAGCCGCGCGGATCCCAACGACGCCTCGCCCGTCGCCGTGCCCAGCACGAGTGCTTCTGCCCCTGGCTGTAGCAGCAGCAGCAGCGCGTGGCCCGCGTGCTGCCTGCATGACCACGCGCCGTTCCCAGGGTTCGGGCGGAAATGCGCGCGGGAAGGGGAGGGCGGCGGGGGATGTATAGGGCCAGGGCGGAGCTACCCCAGTAGCAGCGACTGCGGTAGGAGCAGGGGCAGCGGTAGCGGGAGCGGGGGGTGTAGCGGGCTGTTGCAAGTAAGCGACGAGGTGCTAGTGCAGCGAGTAATGTGCCACCTGGGTCCCAGAGACATCGCGTCGCTCGCCATGTCGTGTCGGCGGTTCCGCCAGCTCGCGGTCAGCCAGGACGTGTGGCAGCGCGCGTGCCAGCACGTGTGGGGCGCGGAGGCGACCGCGGCGGTGCAGGCGCAGGCGACGGTGGGGTGGAAGACGGAGGAGGAGGAGGCGGCGGAGGAGGTGGTGCGACGAGGGCGGTATGCGTGGCACGGGAAGAGTAAGGTTGTATTCGAAGGAGCGGTTGGTAGGGGAGTAGGGTTAGAAGGGGCGGGTGGGAAGCGGTTGAGTACGGTTGTGGGGCAGCAGCAGCAGCGGCAGCTGATAGAGAACCATCAGAAGTCGCAGTGGCTGCAGCGGGTCAAGTGGGCGCAGATTGCGCGCGAAATGACGACGCTGGAAGCCGCCACGTGGCGCAAGGTCACGGTAAAAGGGTCGGTGGAGCCGTCGCGGTGCAATTTCAGCGCGTGCGCCGTGGGCAGCAAGGTGGTTCTGTTCGGCGGGGAGGGCGCAAACATGCAGCCCCTTAACGACACCTTCGTTCTCGATCTCGCGTCCGACATGCCCGAGTGGCGGCACGTCCCCGTCGCGGGTTCCGCGCCCCCCGGGCGCTGGGGGCACACGCTGTCGTGCGTCAACGGGTCGGGGCTGGTGGTGTTCGGCGGGTGCGGGCGCGAGGGATTGCTGAACGACGCGTTTCTGTTGGACCTGGACGACAAGCAGCCCAAGTGGCGGGAGGTCGTGGTGGGGGAGGATGCCGGGAGTAGCAGTGGTGCTGGCGCTGGGGACGGGGGGACTGGTGGGGAGGGCAGGGGTAGCGCGAGGGGGAATGCTGTCCTGGGGGATGGGTTGGTGTTGAGAAGCGGTGGAGACGCGCGGGCAGCTGCGGAAGCAGCAGAGGATGGAGAGGGAGTTGTGAGGCGGGAACAGGGAGAGGCGGCGACCCAGCCGTTGGATACGAGACAAGATGATCAGCAGCAGGACGACAGACAGCATCAGCACCAACAGCAACAACACCAGCAGCAGCAGGAGCAGGAGCCGCACCAACGCCGGCAGCAGCAGCTGCAGGCAGTCGCGCGAGCAGCGCCCGCGCCGGCCGCACCCCCGCAGCGGCCGCACCCGCGGTCGTGGCACAGCTCATGCACCGTCGAGGGGTCCAAGCTTGTCGTGTCCGGCGGCTGTACCGCGTCCGGTCGCCTGCTCTCCGACACCTTCCTTCTCGATCTCGCGCACAACCCGCCGTCGTGGAAGGAGATCCGCGTGGCGTGGGCGCCGCCCGCGCGCCTGGGGCACACGCTCTCCGCGCTGGGCGGGCGCAAGGTGCTCATGTTCGGGGGGCTGGCGACGAGCGGCGCGCTGCGCCTGCGGTCGAACGACGCGTTCACCATCGATCTTGCCGACGAGCACCCCAACTGGCAGACCGTCTCCCCCGACGCGCCTCTCCCGGGGGGAGGTGGCGGGGCGAACGGCAGTGGGGCAGGGGGCGGGGGGGGCACCGGCGGAACGCCAGGGGGAGCGTCGCCCCCGCCCAGGCTGGACCACGTTGCGTTTGCGCTGCCCGGGGGGCGCGTATTAGTGTTCGGGGGATCAATTGCGGGGGTGAGTCCTACCCTGTCCCAGGTATACCTGCTCGACCCGGGGGAAGAGAAGCCGCGGTGGCGGGAGCTGGCGTTTCCGGGGCAGCAGCCGCGGATAGCGTGGGGGCACAGCACGTGCGTGGTGGGGGGAACGAAGGCCGTGGTGCTGGGCGGGCAGACGGGCAAGGAGTGGGTGCTCAACGAACTGCACGAGCTCTCGCTGCTCAGCGCCGCTGCCATGACGCCCCCTGCTCGTGTTCTGCGGGACGAGGATGGCGGGGAGGCTGGGGGGGGTGCGAGGCAGGAGGGGAATGCGGAAGATGGTGGTGGTGGGGAGATGCGGAGGCTGGAGGGGAGCGGCGAGGAGGGGAGGGCAGGGGAAGGGGCGCGTGTGGAGGAAGGGGCAGGGGAGGAGGGTGTGGTGGTGGCACAGGGTCATGTGGCATCGGCGTCTAACCCAGGATAGCTTTGCACTGTTTAGCATGGCGTCTCGCCTGGTGCACGTGGCAGCAGCTGATTGGCAGCACCTTGGCAACTCCGATGGTGGTTCGGAGCCGCACTTGTAGCGCCCAGCAGTAGCAGCAGAAGCAGCAGCAGGTGAAGCAGCACGAGAGTAAGAGCTTAGGGTGATGCGGTAGGAAGCTGATTGATCACGGGCATAGTGCAGCATGCTTGAGGGGTCATGGAGTAAGGTGGGTGGGTCACGGCAGCCGAGCTGATGGGCTGCAGTTTTGTCACTTGCGTGCAGTGCAGCCAAGACATGACAGGCAGGCAGCAGACAGGCAGGCATACAGGCAGGCAGAGGGAGGCGGTCAGGCAGAAGAATCCAGGCTTTGTGGCATCTGATCGGCCTCAGTGGAACTGTTTACCGGTAGTTACCATGATTTTCGCTGGGATATGAACCGATGGCTGGCTGGTGGCACCAGTTTCAGACATGTTGACGCACAGCTGTCCATTCCCCTTTCACTGTGTCAATTACAGTGTCCCTTACAGTATCAGTGCTGCTCATATATGGTAGTGAATTGACTGCTTTGCTCAGGTGAATATTGATAGTACACGCCTTTTTATTATACACATAAGAACATCTACAATACATACTGATAATAGCCTGTGTTATGTCAGGTGGAGGATGTGTAAAAAGCAACAGCATTCTATACATTTCCTTCACAACGAGCCAGCATTGGGTGGCCGAACCTTGGATGTATGCACCACAAGAGGATTCTTCTCCAACTCCTCAGCCATGGATCGGAACACGCCTCTCAGAAACACATTAAACTCGGCTCGCTCCACCGACCCCGACCGGTCAAGATCAGCCTTGAGAAAGAATCTGTCGTACACCTCCTCGGCGTTGCGTGCGTTGTGGGGGGGCAGCCCCCACATCATGCCGGACCGCGCCAGCCCTGCACTGATGTCCGCCCGTGACAGGCAGCGCTTTCTTGACACGTCCCACGAGGTAAAGGTGTCCTCACAGATCTTCTGGAAGAGCCGCCGGTCGCCCAAGATCTGATGGGGGGAGAGGTGGGAGGGGAGAGCAGGAGAGGGGGGAAAGGGTGTGGATTGAGAGGGAGTGGGAAGAGGGGGAGAGGCAGCGCTTCCAGGACACGTCCCAGGAGGTGAAGGTGTTCTCCCAGATCTTCTGGAAGAGCCGCCTGTCCCCGAGGATCTCAAGGGGGGAGAGGTGGGAGGGGAGGGCAGCGGGGAGTGAAAGGGGTGGTGAGTGGGTAAGAGGTGATGCTTCCTGGACAGGGCCCATGCGGTGAAGGTTTCTTCACAGATCTTCTGGAAGAGCCACCGGTGTCCCGGGATTTGAGGGTGAAGAGGGGGGGAGAGGGGAGAGGGCGAGGGGGGGAAGGGTGAGGGTTGAGAGGGAGGGAGAAAGAGGGGAGAAGGGGGAAAGGGAGAGGGGAGCGGGGGGATGTTGTGGGGGTGAGGAGCAGAGCAATGGGTATTGCTGGAAGATTGCAGAAAAGGGGAGTGGAAGTTTGTCTGACCTGTGGGTGCTCGTTCTAGCAGCGTGCCACCCTCTACAGCCCTCCCCATGCTCTCGCTTCTCCCCTCCCCTCCCCTCCCTTGCCCTCCCCTCCCCTCTCACCCATTGCACCTGGTGCAGCTTGCTGCCGTGCAGCACCTGCCCTTCCTCCTCCTCGCATCCTGCACATCACCTGTTCATCCGTGCCAGTACCCTGCCCCACCTCACCCCCCTCCCCTCCCCTCCCCTCCCCTCCCCTCCCCTCCCCTCCCCTCCCCTCCCCTCCCCTCCCCTCCCCTCCCCTCCCCTCCCCTCCCCTCCCCTTTCCCCACCCCACCTGGCGCAATTTACTGCAGTGCAGCACCTGCCCTTCCTCGTCCTCGCATCCTGCACTTCACCTGTCACCTCACTGCCCTCCCCCGCCCAACCACTTTCCCCCACACCGCACCTGGCGCAGTTTACTGCCGTCCAGCACCTGCCCTTCCTCCTCCTCCTCCGGCTTCGCTGCCAGCCTGCCCGCCAGATCAGACACCGTGGCCTGCAGCGGGTGAACGCGTGAAGGGGGAGGAGGACACAGGAGGCTTGTGAGTCGACTAAAAAATCACCTCAATCACTGGCTTGACTGGCTTGACCGGCTTGACTGGCTTGACTGGCTTGACCGGCTTGACTGCCAGCCTGCCCGCCAGGTCACACATCGTGGCCTGCAGGGGGGTGAGGGGCGAGGGGGACAAAGGAGACCAAATGGGTCAACTAAAGAATCATTTCAATCACCTGCTTGACTGGCTTGACTGCCAGTCTGACTGCCAGTCTTCCCGCCAGTGGCCTGCAGAGGGTGCGAGGGAGGGGGATCAAGGAGGGGATGCAGTGAGTGAGGGAGCGGGAGGGCAATGGAGGAGGGTGGAAAGAGGTGTCTGGGAGGGGAGGAGGGGCATGGGTACGCCAAGATGGGGTGGAGATACAGGGGATGTGGAATATCTCAGTATAATACCCTCCTCCACACAGCCCTACCTACCCCACACAAACCTCCCTCAGACAAGCCTCCCCCACTACAAGCACACACACGCATGAAGGCAGTGAACTGGTCTCGTGAGAGGTCCATATGGCCCAGCCTTCCCCACACAAGCCCCCCTCATACAAGCCTTCCCCATATACGCCCTCCCCCCATACAAGCACGCACGTGCATGAAGGAGGTGAACTGGTCTCGTGAGAGGTCCAGACGCCCCAGCCTTCCTCACACAAACCCTCCCCACATACAAGCCCCCCACATACAAGCCCCCCACATACAACCCAACCCCCCTCCAAACAGCAGCACGCACGCGCATGAAGGAGGTGAACTGGTCTCGTGAGAGGTCTAGAGGACCCAGCCTTCCCCACACAAGCCCCCCCACATGCAAGCCCCAACCCTCCTCCCCTCCCCTCCAAACAGCAGCACGCACGCGCATGAAGGCAGTGAACTGGTCTCGGGAGAGGTCCAGACGGCCCTTGCCGTGCGTCATCACCAGCTGCGCCACCACACTCTCCGTTGATGCACTCCCTGCACCGCGGAAAGAGAACAAGAGACAGAGAAGGAGTGGTGATGTGTGGTGGAGAGGGGTGCAGTGGAAAGGGAAAGGTCCAGACGGCCCTTGCCGTGCGTCATCACCAGCTGTGCCACCACCCTCTCTGTTGACGCGCTCCCTGCCCAGTATAGAGAGAACGAGCGATATAGAGAGAGGAGGGGTGATGCGCGGTGGTGAGGGGTGGGGTGGGAGGCAGAGAGGAGGAGGTCTACCAGTGAAGCTGCAATGCACTCATGGAAGAGGGTGTGCAGGCCCATGCTCTGCACCATGGTGGAAAGGGTTGGTTTGAGCTCTCTAGCAACCACTACATGCAACCACTCTACACGCAATAGCACGTGACTGCAATTTACTCGCAACAGAGGGTGTGCAGTCCCATGTTCTGCACCGTGGTGGAGAGCGCTGCTTTCAGCTCACTACCCGCCGCTACCTACCCGCCACTAATGCGGACATAAACTGAGAGATGGCACTCACGGCAGAGCGTGTGTAGTCCCATGTTCTGCACCATGGTGGAGAGCGCGGGCTTGAGCTCGCAGTAGGAGATGGTGCCGCTGCCGTCGGTGTCGAGGCTGCTGAAGAGAATGTCGATGAGCGTTGCCAGCTCGCCCTCCTCCTCCATCAGCCGCTGCATCTTCGCCCCGTCCGCCATGAACTGCAGTACGGGGTCGTCTGGAGTGCATGCAAAGGCACATGGTAGGGAAACGGGGCAGGCAGGGAATGAGCACACGTGACGGAAGGCCACCCACCCATCCATCCACCCGCCCACCCGCCAGCTCCCCCTCCTCCTCCATCAGCTGCTGCATCTTCGCCCCGTCCGCCATGAACTGCAGTATAGGGTCGTCTGGAGTGCGGGGGATGGGTGGCAGGGGAGGAGGGGTGGCGGAGAATGAGGCACACGGGAAGGGGTGGCGGGGGAAGTCCGCCAAGAAGTGCTGCCACGGGATAGGGCTGCCTAAGGCACACGGGAGGGGGTGGGGTGGGACGCGCACATCAGGGGAATGGTGACAAGGGAAGGGGGAGATGGGCATGCGGGAAGGGGGAAATGGGCACGCGGGAAGGGGGAGATGGGCATGCGGGAAGGGGGAAATGGGCACGCGGGAAGGGGGAAGGGGATGCGGCAGGGAATGGGCCATGGACCACTCACCGACCCACCCAACCATCCACCCATGCGCTGCAGCACGCGCATGTGGCCCCCACGAGCTCCCCAATCACACGCTCACGCCCACCCACACACCCGCCTTCCCACCCACCCAACCTCACACCCACGCACACGTCCTCTTCTCCTCTCGCGCACGCACCATACACTCACTCGTCCATCCCCTTGAACCCGCACGCACCATGCACGGCGTCCCCCATGCGCTGCAGCACGCGCATCATGGCATCCACAAACTCCTCGCACGCCACCTCCTGCTCCGCGCTCTCCCAATCACCACTCCCCGCGTCCCCCGCAGCATTCCCAGCAGCAATCCCAGCAGGCGCTATATTCCCTCGTCTGCGCGCCGATTCTAACAACGCTTGGGATTCCCGTTCCCCTCGTCTTCCCCCCACCCCCGGGCTCCCCGCGGAGAACGTCCGTCTGGGCGACGGCAGCCCGCTCGTCTGCTCCGCGCGCTTTTGAGGCGCCTGAAAAGACGTCCGCCGCGGCGACGGCAGCGCGCTCGTCTGCTCCACGTGCGCCACCACCGCGCGCACCGCCTCGCGCGGAACCCGCCCCCGCCCGTCCTTATCCATCTCTTGAAACTTCTCCTCCAAAAATCTCCGCACGCGCTGCCCGCCGCCCTCCTCGCGCAGCAACGCGAGCAGCTTCGGCCCGTCGAAAACGGATTCTGTACCGTCGGATCTAGACTCCCCCTTGGGTTCCACGGACGATTCGAGCACGAGCGGCGTCTCTTCCAGCTGCAGCTGCATGCCGATGAAGAGCGAGCGCAGCAGCGTGCGGAACTCCCCCTTGTCCACAAACCCGTCCAGATTCACGTCCGCGGAGAGGAAGAGCGACGTGTAAACCTTGTCTGCTTCCGCGGCGTCGGGCGGAGGGAGCCCGTAGGCAAGGCCGAGCTTGCGGAAGCCGGCTATGGCGTCAGTGCACACGAGGTAGCCCTTGTGGGAGACGTCCCATTCCTCGAACATAGAGTCCGATACCGCCGTGAAGAACTCGTCGTCGTTCAGGATCTGGCAGGGGTCAGTGGGAGAGGGGAGGATATGAAGGTGACAGAGTGCATAGGGGCGGGGGGAGGCCGTAGGCGAGGCCGAGCTTGCGGAAGCCAGCTATGGCGTCAGTGCACACGAGGTAGCCCTTCTCCGCCCCGTCCCACTCGTTGAACATGGCGTCCGCCACCGCCGTGAAAAACTCGTCGCCGCTTAGGATCTAGAGGCAGGGGGAGGGGGCGAGGGCGGGGGGCAGGGGGAAGGGGGTTGACCTGACAGTGGGGGGGGGGAAACAAGAAGCCGCTGCGGGAGACGTCCCAGTCGTTGAACATGGCGTCCGCCACCGCCGTGAAAAACTCGTCGTCACTCAGAATCTGCACGGCGGGGTACAGAGGGGGCAGGGGGGAGAGGGGGGGTAAGGGGGGTTGACGTCCCACTCTTCAAATTTAGACATGGCGTCCGATACTGCTGTGAAAAAGTCGTCGTTGCTCAGAATCTGGAGGCAGGGAGGGGGGACAGGGCAGAGGGGATAGGGCGAGGGGGAGGATAGGCAGGCGAGGAAGGTGAGGGGCAAGGAGGGCAGAGGGATTGAGAGAGGTGTGTGCATTTAGGTGGGGAGGAAGGGGACGGGAGGTAGGGGATTGAGAGCAGGCAGGGCAGAGCAATGCGGTGCAATGCGGTGCGTAGATCGCGCACCTTTTTTATGTACGCGCCGTTGAGCACGGTGGCGCGCTGCGGCAGGTACAGCGGCGCGGCCTCGAGCTCGGAGGAGAGGTCTTTAAAGACGTCCAGCAGCAGCGCCGAGAACTCGTCGCGGCACAGCTCCCCGTCGCCGTCCAGACAGTACCGGTCGATGATTCGCTCCAGCACCTGCTCCTGGTGCTCGCGCGCTGATGGGGGGAGGGGGAAGGAGGGCGATGGGGAGCGGAAGAGGAGGGGCGATGGGGGGCGTGATCACAGGGGATGCGCGCCCGCGCAGCAGTGGTCGATAATGCGCTCTAACACCTGCTCTGTGTGCTCGCGCGCATAAGGGGGGGGAACGAAAAGGGCTTGGATCTAACCAAACTTATGCGCTTGGCTTCTTTTTCCTGCTTCTTCTTTTTCCTGCTTCTTCTTTTGCGAATTCTTTCGCTGTGTAGCTCTCATGTAGAATGCGGCTAAGGAGAAATGAAGAGGTTTCCCCGCTTACTGATTCCCGCACTTTTGAGGCGCCTCAAAAGTCATTTCCCCGCTTACTGATTCCCGCACCGTCCCGCAAAGCCCCTCCCGAATCCATTCCGCGCAGCCGCCCCGCACCAGCCCCCATCGCACATGCCCCTCGATCCAGAATTTAGGGAGCTCAGCACGAACGGCAGGGACGGCACGAGAGGCACGAGCAGGTCTCACCTTCGGCCGTGGTGCTGTCGCCCCCGTGAAGCCCCAACCGCACGAGCGCGGGGCGCAGCTCGCTCTTGCTGATGCACCCGCTGCCGTCCGTATCCAGCTCCGCGAACAGCGCCGAAATCAGCGCCTCCGCCTCCTCCGCGCTGCCCAGTATTCTCCGCAGCGCGCCCCCGTCGTAGACCAGCGTGGATAGCGGGTCCTCTTGGGGATCGGAGAGGGGAATGGGGGAAGGAATGAGGGGGAGAGGGGGGGGGGGAAAGAATGAGGGGGAGGGGGAAAGAATGAGGGGGAGGGGGAAAGAATGAGGGGGAGGGGGGAAGAATGAGGGGAAGGGGGGAAGAATGAGGGGGAGCTGAATTCCGAGTCGCACGTCCTATGTAGGATGTTTACTTGCACGTACCTTCTAACGCGTGGCTCGCGCCGCTAAGAATATCCTTGCAAACCCGGACAAACGAATCCCGCCCAATCTCCTCCGTGAGATCCGGCGACATGAACGACGCGAAAAGACCCTCCACCAGCTCGTCAACCTCGCGTGCCGTCCCGGCCGGCGGCATCCCTAATAGCTCCCCGAGCCGCAGTAGCGCCGGCTTTAACTCGCCCAGCGAGAGCGCGCCGTTACCGTCGGCGTCGAGGCGGTCGAACTCGTGCGAGAGGAACGCCGTGAATGCCGCGTCGTCGTGCATCCGCCGTCGGATTTGCTTCCCGTCGAAGATCGTAAGGCGAGGAGGGGCAGAGTCGGATGAGGAAGATCCTCCGTTGCGCGGGGACGATGGGCGCCGCGGCTTGGCCGTTAGATCGCGAGAGGTCTGGGAAGACGGTGCCTTTGCCGACGAATGCGGCGGGGAAACCGCGGCCATGGTTGGGGAAGCTTGTTTCGCGCCAATTTTTCGTGCCTGGACCGGAGAGATTGCTAGAAGCGCGGCGCGAACGTGACGGAAAACCTACTTTTACTCGAAACTTAGACAAGGACGTCCGACCTGAATCCAACTTTCACTCAGACTTTGAGTCGAAGCCCGTCGAGCCGTCGTGGGTATGGGGTGGGGGAAAGGAAGCTTTAAAACTAGAAGGGGCGTGTGTAAGGACCAGTGCGGGTGAAAGTGCGAAGGAAATAATCCCATGCTTGACTCATGTCGATGAGGAGGCTGATTGCGTACGCCTGTACAGTACTGTGATGTGAAAACATGTTGGTTGGTTTACCGCCAGCAAGTACACATCAGACCGTAAACTCGGTTTACGGTTGGTGCTCTTGACCTCGCCAGGTACTACTGTAGCAACAAGCCTCGGTTTACGGAGTTTCTGGTCTGGCCCTATGCTGCCCAATTCTTCAACGCAGCTACAGTTCTGTACGTCCACCTCGCTCATGTGCGCCAACCCCTCAAGAACCAGCAGCGCCCACTCGCCGAAAAGGAGAGGTTGGGGTTGCGGTTGGGTTGGGGGGGTCAACTACACCCTCATTCTCGTTAGACTGGCATATGTTATACTGACCGAGACGCTTAGTGTAGCCGCAGCGGACCAAAGAAGGTCCTATCACATGCGTTATACTGACAGTTTGAGCCAGGAAGTTTAGTCAAGGTTCTATACGTTCTACAATGGTACTGCTGTTTTCTAAACGGTTAAAACAGTTATTCAGCGTTAACGGAATTTTACGGCCCAAGTCTGGTTTCGTCGTCTCGTGAGACTCGGCCCGCAACCGAGTTATCTCACCAGCCCGCTACGTCCAAACACTGTAGCCACTGCTTCCGTCGGTGAGAAGACTGAGAATAAGGGTGTATTATGGGGTGCTCCTGGAAGCCAATGGGAGGACTACGGGTGGTGGTGGTGCGGGTAACCAAGGCAAGAAACCAGTTTTCGCGAATCTCGCGAATGTTCTGTGTTGCAAACCATCAGTGGTGGTGGTGTGGGATTTTGGCATTTCCTTCCGAGTTTGTCGACAGCGTTGCATGCATGCTGCCAAAACAAGCCACATTACGTATGGACACGAAGTGCATACGTTAAGACACTGTATCTCGAATACTCAACAGTATAATCGTGACTCCAGCGTGTATTTTTGGCTGTTCCGCGATGTACACTCAAACAGTTCCACAAAAATATTGGTCCCCACCCCCCTCCCCCCCCACCCCCTCTCCTCCAATTTTCCCTGTTCGTTTCACATTCCCGTCGTTCCATCCCACACCCGAGAAACATCTCATTAGCAATAATTTTTCACTACAACAAACCCTTCGAAGTCATTCAACAAGCCCTTCGAAGTCATGAAACTCGCACACCACAACATGTCGTTCATCAAGAATCTCTGCGCTGTCAAAATCCTGAAGCAGAGGAAGAGGTCATTGCGAATCTAGTTTTGCTAGCCTTAGGTTAATGAGAAAATCCGAAAGGATATTTTTTTTGTCCAGGGAATTGAATTGCTAACCTCACACCTGCATACAGAGGGAGGGAGAAAAACAATTGTTTGGCACATCTCCGGAGGATTTGAAACCAACCACAGTCACCTCGTGTCGGTACTGTACAAATGTTCTTGCTTAGAGTCCCGGTAAAAAACACACGCGCTACGGGCCTTTGTGGAAAACCCTTCAAACCCCAGGCAAACGGGACCCTGTAGACCCTTTTCAGTAAAACTGCATGGAAATCGGTTTGGCTTCTCTACTAGTTGTTGTTTTCTGTCATATACGTACCATTCGGAATGCGCTTGATTCAACTTCTCGTTGCAAGGTTCTCCCCGTTGATCAATGTTGCACGACTGACGGGCAGAAACAAAAATAAAATCGATAATGTTTGATGACATGATGAAAGGAAAAATAATTCGTTTTTGCCTGTCATCGTCGAGCGCGCCGTGAAACGCTCGACGGGATTTAGAAGAGAGCGCTGTCAAGAGAAATAATCAGAAATAGCTTCCAAAGTAGATATGGAAGCGAAATTTCCTTCTCTCACATTTTCCGGGGTTGGTTCGATTTGGGCCCTCTGATTGGCTGCGGAACTGATCCGCAGTCAAGCTGCAAAATTTCCCGCCAAAAACAGGACTGTAGAGGAGGGGCTACACCTAGGACAAACATGAAAAATCTAACGACGGGAAAAATAGACTCTCTTAGGAAAGGCTTCAAAGCCAGAACATCTGTATATGAGGTGGTTTCGTGCGAACCAATCGATTCCAGGTTCGTTCATTGCTTGGCGGCAACTTTCGCCATGTTCGTTCAATCTGTTGCACACTGTTTTGCGTTGCGAATGCCAACTTGCCACGCAGCCATCAATTATAGTTTTAGGGCGTGGGCCCAAACGGGTTTGATCGCGACTGATCTGATCGGGGCGGATCTGATCGGGTTGCTTGTGATCGCAATACCCGAGCCGCCCGATCAGTAATGTTTTTCTTAGAAGATTTTTCTCGGCTGCTCAGCAAGCGGTATTTAATTACCTGGTATTTTCGTGGCAATCTTAGCGAGACTGGCGACCAGACGGCTTCTGGCGAAAATCTCTGTATCCAAGTAATATCGTGAAAACCACTCCCCTCTGGAGCCGAAGTGGTGGGATTTCACTATATTGTTCGACACAGGCTGTATGTTCCTTGGGAGCGAGGAGAATGATTGGATGGCGCAATGGGTGCCATTCCAGGGTGTTCTGTACAGGCTGGACATCTTTGTGAGGGGTTGACGAATCCCTGTAATATAGTGTAACTTTTCGTCAGTGTCGCTGTGGTCCGCGATCACCCAGGATCAGTTGATCGTGGGTGATCGAAGAGAATCGACTGTGATCCGGGGGTAATCGGGTCTGATCGAGTTAAGGCGATCAGCTGATCGCGATCAGCTGATTGCCCCTGATTGCCTGAATTTGGCCTCCAGGCTTCCTGGAAAGTATTGATCGCGGCTGATCGAGGCGATCAAACCCGTTTGGGCCCACGCTATTACTGTATCTATGCATAGAAACCATTCCTATTAATTGTGCCAAGAGCTTACAATGATAGTTAGATAATCCTCTAGAGGGAAAGGCGGGTACAGCTGCATGGCATTGATTCTCAACGGTCACAGTATTCATTACCGTAATACCCCGGATATAAGCGCATCTGCGCTTATAATAAAACAATGTTTTTTAGGGGGGTGCGCTTATAAATGAGTCAAAATTATAAGCGCATGCGCTTATACAATAACAAACACAGGACAAACACAGAAATATGTTATAAACGCACCAATCTGTGCACTAGAGTCTTGCAATTACATTCAAATCGAAATGTGTGGAGCGTTCTGAATCAGAATCGCGCGAGGGCGATTCTTTGCCGGCGCACAAGGGCAAGGACACGTCACTATCGCATAGGAATGTGTCATGCTCGCCCCAGCAGAGTGTACGAACCAATAGCTTCCAGTCGCTCGTTCGCATCGCACAGGCTTGCCCCAGTGTACGACCAATAGCCTGCAGTCGCTCGCTCGCAGCGCAGACAACAGGTGTTCCCGAGCCCCCCTGTCAGGTCAACTTCGCGCTGTTGCGCTTTTCCTGAGCGAGCACGCCCTCGAGGGAGTCGAACAGAGTAGAAGTGGATGTAGACTCACTTCAAACCGGGAAGTCGTTACTGTTTTAATCCGGTTTTTTTAATATGTTTATACATGCACTTATAATAAATCAGGGGTTTATAAGGGGTGCGCTTATAATTGAGGATCGGCCATAAGCGCATTGCTCCAGATATAAGCGCATGCGCTTAACATAGGCCTGCGCTTAAATCCGGGGTGATACGGTATCCTAGGACGCCCTGGGCTTCAAGAGAGTTTGAAGCAATAAATGCGTATTTCAAGTTCTGGAAACACTTTTAGAGGTAATGATGACGGATTTAAGCTCCATGTTATTCTTCGTACACTCCCCCACCTCCACCCCCTCACCACATCCCCCTGAGTGAGGACCCGTTCCTTCTGCAGTCTCATTCACACCCTCCATTTTGCATGGCGTATTAAAACTCAGCATCCGGCCCAGAGTATAACCAAGCATTTGTTTGAAGCTTCCTCCTATCACGCTGCTGTCTATGGTGGTGCAGCTAGCGACCTCCATTTCCAATCGGGCACCGACAGCAGCGCCCACAGCACTGGCAGTACTCCCCTCCTCCACAACCTCTCCCTCCCGCACTGCCTGTCTCTACTCCCCTGCCTGCACGCTGCGGCTTGGGCGGCAACAGAGCAGACGCCTTGCCCTTGCCCTGCTCCCTGAACCCTTCGTCAATCCCACCGTCTCTCGTGCCAAGAGAAGGCCCTCCAGACCTGTTGCCTTGCCTCGGGCCAAGCCTGCTACGGTGCATGCAGCCACAGGGCCTTGCATTGGCTGCTCTGCCATTCCTACCACTGGCAGTAGCATCATCATCATCACCGTCATCATTCAAATCATCGTGCGTGGCTGATAGCGCATACTGCGAATCAAAACAAGACGAAAAGGGTAACTGCATGCCTAAGAGGTTTCCCTCGCGTCTCCCTGCTGCTCCGCCTATTGCCGTCCGTTCCCCACCAAAAACACTGCTCACCGACGCTACAGTGACTGCTGCTGCTGTAGCAAACCACTCGGGGGAGCAAACAGATGCAAGTGCAGACAAATCAAGCCACCCATCTAAACCTAATGACCCAACACTGCTGCTCACATTAGCACCCACCCCACTAGTTCTACTCCCAACTCCTCGCCCGCCACAGCTGCTACAGAAACTACTCATGCGTGCTGCTGCAGCCGCTACAGCCGATGGCCTGCCATGGCCGCACGCGCTACAGCCGTGGTATCCCCCCTGCAGCAACATCGGCTCGTCCGTGTCTAGCAGCCGATCGCCGCGCCACCTGCACCTGCTGCCTCCCCCCCGCCCCGGAATCCGCGCACTGCTGCTGCTGCTGTTTCCGCCTGCGTTCCCGGACCTGTCCCGCAGCTTCGGAATCCGAAGCTCATCGCCGCCTCCACTGACCAGCGGGACAGCCTCGGAGAGCGAGTCAGAGCTACCGCCAGTCCTGTCATTATCATATTCGTCAGAGTCACTCTCAGTACTGTCTCTCGCACTACTATTGTCACCCCTACGATCCCCTTCCTGAGCATCACCCTCGCTTGAAGCAGCCCCGTTAGAAGAACTAGCACCAGGCATGGCATCACCCGCACCAGCAGCGCCCTCCTCCGCCTTCCCCTTTCCCTTATCCCCCACCCGTGCCCCCTCCTCTCCTTCACCCCCAAGCCCCTCAACAGCCCACGCCTTGCCTTCGGGCTGCTTGAGAAATTTCAGAAACCACCCGAACGGGCGCTCCTCCTCCCCCCGCCACAGCCTCCCCGCGCCCACCTGGCGGAACTTCTTCTCCAGTTCCGCGTGCAGCACCTCTAGAATCGCCACCTTTTCAGACACCACCATCTGCGCCTCGACCAGCTTTAAATGCACGTTGTGCTCCCGCCAGTTGTCCGCGCGCGCGAGTTGCGCGCGCTCCAGCGTGATTTCCTCTAGCAGCTGCCTCCGCGCGAGCTCCGCCGCCACCGCCAGCCGCTCCGCCAGCTCGCGCCGCTCGCGCTCGTCCGCGGTCTCGCGGCGCGAGGAGAGCAGCGCGTTGTTAAGTTTTGCGCAGGCCTGCCCGAGACGCTCCTTTTCCATGCGCTCGCGCACAAAATCCAGCCCCGCCTTCGCTAGTACCGCCTGCATCTCCGCCACTTCAGCCTTGGCGTCCGCCAACTCCCCGCGCAGCTCCGACAGCTCCGCCGACTGCTTCGCGAGCTGCTGGAGCAGCTTCGCGAACTTCTGCGAAGCCGTTAGCGACGCCATGTTCACGACCGCGGACGACGGCGGGCGCGGGTGGGGAATCGGGTGCGCGGCTTGGGGCGGAGCGAAAGAGAAATTGGGGAAAGCGGAGGGCGCGGAGGGGGACGTGGGCGGGGAGACGGCGGAGCGGGAGGACGCGGCGGCGGCGGAAGAGAGCGTGGGGCTGGTTCCGCCGGAAAAGGTGGTGCTGGTGACCGACGAGGCGGAGGGGAAGGGCGCGTGGGAGAGCGCGAGCAGCGCCAGGGGATTAAGGTTCGGGGGAGGGGAGGGGGAAGGGGCCCGCTGGGGAGCAGCCGACGACTCACTCCCAGTATCGTCCTCCTCCCCCTCGTCTCCTTCCTCGCTCTCCTCACTCTCCTCACTCTCATCGCTCTCTCTATCATCCATCGAGTTTCCTTCTAACGAGTTAATTGTAACCGCACCCTCCCTTACACACGTCTCCTCGTCATGCTCCCGCCATTGCCCCTCTTGCCGCTCTAGCCCCTCTAGCCCTTCTTGCCCCTCTCGTCCCTCTTGCCCTTCTTGCCGCTCGTGCTGCGCGCCGCCATGCCCCACGTCCGCCGCTGCATGAATTACCCGGCTAACCCCTTCATCTTCACGAGCTCTAGATTCGCCGAATACTGTTTCGCATGCGCTACCTTCACCAGATCTCCCTTCTCCGCTCCTCCGTTCTCCGCTACTACCTTCACCAAATGTACCCTCCCTATTATCAGCTTCAGTACTTCTAACTCCCCCGCTTCGGCTTTCCTCATATCTCTCGCAGTTTCCGCTTTCGCCAACCCTTTTGCGATCTTCACCTTCGGCGCACCTACCTGCACCGTTTGTCTCCGCCTCTGTGACCGCAACGCCCGCTTCGCTGCCTCTCTCACATCTGGCCGCCCCCGGGCTCGACCTCCCGGTTACGATCGAAAGCGACAATTCACACGCTCCTGCGACATCGCTTCTGTCGCAACTGTCGCGCGCAGGAATCGCGTCGCTAGTCGCAGAGGTATTGAAAGTCGTTAAGGGGGTCGGTGGTGTCGCCGGGCGAACGTCGTCCTCTCCTCGCGACGCGGCGGCTGTTCCGGCGGTAAATATCGGCGCGCTGCCGTCTACTTGGAACGCTGGGCGGTTCAGCGATGGGAAGGCTGAGCCGTGCGGGGGCGCGAACGGATTAGTTGTTGCTGTGACGCTATCAGAGGAAATACTTTCGAAGGTGATTACGGGTGCGGCTTTGCGAGACGCTGCTGCGCTGCTGAAGATATTAAAGCGGCTCGGCGTGAATAATTGCGACTGTGAGGATTCTGCGGCGGCGGCGGCGGCGGCGGCGAATGGGGAAGAGTTTCCGTCTGTTCTTTGTGCAGATTGCGCGGAAATCTTACCCCGCTGCTGCTGGCGCTGTTTATCAGCGGAGCGGATGCGGCGGAGGTAGCGGCGGGCTGCTGGGATCCGCGCAACGGGGAGAGGCGCGGAGGAGCCGGGGGAATCTGAAGTATCCATGAGATATACTGCGGCCGTAAATGCCACCTGGCGGGAGAATTGGAGCCGGACCAGCCGACCCTAAATTCACCCCACACGCAGAAGTGGGGAGTGAGGAAGTGGCAAACCTGAGCGAGTATCACATATCGAACCCTAAATTGCTCATGCACGTCTTCGCACAACTAACCATGACGCGAGGGGGAAGAAGTGAGCGTGCAAAGGCCGAGGAGGAATCAAAGCTGGCAACTTTGCTGTTCGATGCGGATCACGCGGCGATTGGGAAATGGGGAAGGAAGGGAGGAAGCCAGTGGAGGGAAAGGGTGGGGGTGGGTGGGTGACGTGGCTGGCTGCTTTCTGTGCTCACGCACACTGGTCTCTGCCACAGTGTCATGTCGTGTCCAGTCGAGTCATCGTCGTCATCGCGTGTTGTGAACTGCACTGCTGTGCGAATGCGAAGGTGGCGCGGCGGACTGCTTGCAAACTTTCAACTCGATTTCTGTCAATTTGGGCACAGCTTGGACACCCTACACCCAGTATACAGTACATAGCGCGTTTTATTTTTGAGTCAGACCAGCAATTTCAACAAACACCACCCTACCATAGGATACAGCAGCTCACTGTACAGATCTACCCTCAAGCCGTTTTCTTGCATCCACTGTCCCCAGAATTGCTTCATACTGTGATCCCCGAACCCTCGCTTCCCACCCAACAGGCCACTCTTCCTTCCCGGAGATACTGTATATGTTTGTCTAAGAAACCCTTTCAATTCTCAGGGGGACGGTGACCTGCAATGCAGGGGTGTTAAAATCGGCGAGAAATCAGGTTCAAATAACCCCGATTCCATAAATCTCTCTCGTCACCTCCCCACCCCATCTGCTGCATTCCCCCTTTGCGCACCAGCATCCCCTCCTCCTGCCCACACCCAGCCCCAGCCCTTTGCCCATGCGGTGAAAACAAATCATCAGGAACATGGCTGACTTCTGGCTTCTACATCTGAAAAAGCGACAAAACATCCACTGTCAATGGGTAGCAGACAAGATAGGCTGGCACAAAATAACAAGACTTACAAACCCCCGACTGATTGTTATTCGCCATACGGGGCACGGCTGTTTCTGACGTTTTCGTGGCGGCCCAAAGCCACCTGGGCTGGCGAAGAGAACGTCGGGATGTCGTTCTTTAAAAGCACACAATACGACAAAAGGGGAAATCGCGATGAAGATTCCGAAGCGACAGGGAAGCGATGGGTGCTGCTGTGCCGTTGAGCTCTCCACTTTTGGATAGTACTGCTACTGTAGAATAACAAGACACATTCTTCTAATCTATTGTGTACACTACTACCTTTTCATATAGGATGCCAAAGCATGTTATCTCAAACATACTTGGAAGGCATGTTACACTCACTGTTTTTTACGCTTCGTGTATATGCAGGCCAGAGATAATGTCACCTAAGCCTCAGAACAGCTAGCACCACTGTATATTGAAGTTAATCTTGGTCGAAGCACTACCCCATGAAACCAGCGCCGGATGTGGGCTGCTTCATGGGGCGCACTGTCTGCCCCTTGGCCTCTGCCTCCACCTGCTGCCGCTTCTCCCTCTGCCCCATGCACCACAACCCCGCCCGGCCAAGACACGCGGAGAAAGAGACAAGAAGGAACATTGGGAAAGGCACACATGCATGGCAACGTGCAAGGGATCGAAAACACAGAGAGGCTAAGTAGGTGCATCCCCTTATGGCATGTGCATCCCCCCTTTGTCCATCCCCCCATTGATGTGCACCCCCCCATGGCATGTGCATCCCTCCATGGCATGTGCAACTGACTCCACCCAAAGCCCACACTCACTCCTCAATACTCACCACTCAAACTCACAACGCACCTCCTGCCGCCGTGCCTGCGCGGCGCTCTTGACCAGCAGCATGCTCCAGCCATGAGACTTGACCAGCATGCTATCCACGGTAGCTGGCTTGGTTCTCGGGGCAGCGGCCTCACCACACACAGCCCAACTCAGCTCACCATACCATTCAGAACTCCCCACCGCTCCTCACCTCCTGCCGCCGCGCCTCCACAGTGGATTTAACCAGCATGTTATCCAGGTAGCTGGCGTAGTTCTTGGGGCAGCGGCGGCGGAACTCCTTGAAGTGTGCGTCGGCCTGCTTGGTGTCGCCCATGAGGGAGAACACGAGCCCCTTGCACAGGTACGGCCGGAAGTCACTCGGGTCACTTGCACTGATGGCGTCGTACTGCGCTATGGCTGCCTCCACGTTGCCCTAAAAGGGAGAGCAAAGAATAGCACGGGCAGAGCATATGGCAGGTGAATGGCATGAGAAGGCGGGGCGGATGCGGCGGAGGTATGGCAGCTATGGAAGGCGGAGAGCAAAGGAAGAGCATATTGCAAGAGAATAGCACGGGCAGAGGATATGGCAGGTGAATTGGCATGAGAATGGGCAAGGGTCGCAGCTAATGAGGGCCTGCTGCTGCTTGCCACAGACTCCAAACCCCCAACCCTGCCCATAATCCACAAGCCCCAACACCCCACAAACAAACCCCTCCCCTCCCCCTCCGCCCCTCCCTCCCTGCCCCCTCTTCTCATCCCTCCCCTTCACGATCCCCCTTCCCCCACCTGCAGCGCGTGCAGCTGCCCCAGCAGCATAGCCTCCTGCTGCTTGCCAAGGGCTCAAAACCCGCAACCCTGAGCCCGCTGACACCCCACCACTATCCCCGCAACCCCCCAGTCTGCACCCCTGCACCCTTCCCTTCCCCCACATGCAGCGTGTGCAGCTGCCCCAGCAGCATCTTGAGGTTGGTGGCCTCCTGCTGCTTGCCACAACCTCCAAACCCCCAACCCTGTGCCCCTCACCCTGGTTTCCAGAAACTTAGAAAACCCTGCGCCCCCACACACACCTGCAGCGCGTGCAGCTGGCCCAGCAGCATCTTGAGGTTGGTGGCCTCCTGCTGCTTGCCCGCCTGCCCCGCCTTTCCCACCGCCTCCTCCACCATCCCCAGCACCAGGCTGTCCTCGCCGCTGCGCCGCATCACCGTTGCTAGGCCCTGCGCGAGGGGGAAAGGGGGGGAATGGGGGAAGGGAAAAAGAGTCTTAGGTGCGTCACTTCTCACCACCTTCCCCACCGCCTCCTCCACCATGCCCCACACCAGGCTGTCCTTGCCGCTGCGCCGCATCACTGTTGCTAGGCCCTGCGCGAGGGGGAAAGGGGGGGAATGGGGGAAGGGAAAAAGAGTCTTAGGTGCGTCACTTCTCACCACCTTCCCCACCGCCTCCTCCACCATGCCCAACACCAGGCTGTCCTCGCCGCTGCGCCGCATCACCGTTGCTAATCCCAGCTCCAGCACGCGGAAGGTGTGCGGGGAAAGGGGGAAGGGGGAGGGGGAGAGATGGCGGATGGGCGTGGTGGGACAAGAGAGACGTGGCGTGGAGGAGGGTTGAGGCGCGACATTTGAGAGGGTTTTGTGTGCCCTTCGTCAGACGGAAAGTGGACTAACGAGAGAGTGTGTTCACCCAGGGAGTGTGGGGGACGGCGGGGACGAGGGGCTGGGAAGGACTTCAGAAGGGGGTGGCAAAAGGCGCCGACAGAAGTGAGGGAACGCGGATGTGACGGAGGAGGGAGGAAATGAAACACACGCGCAGCAGGGGCGCACCTGGAGCGCTCGCGCGGAGAAGGGGTCGACTTTGAGGATGTCCTGAAAGCCCTTGCGCGCCGCCTGCAGGTCCCCCACGAACTCCTGCGCCTGCGCGCGGATGTACTTCCACTCCATGTCGTCCGGCTCTATCTGTCGGGGTGAATACGAGGGGGGGGAGGTGCAAGGGGAAGGTCAACTGACACGATCGCATGCGCGCGGATGTACCTCCAATCCATGTCCTCCGGCGCTATCTGCTCCGCTTCAAGGGAGAGGGTGCGGGGAGGGTGAGGAGACAGCAGCAAAAAGGTGGAATTCCTCGTAGAAAAACGACTTTCTGCGCCTGTCCGCGGCGGATGTACTTCCACTCCACATCGATAATACTTGCTTTAGATAATTTTTACGAGGAAAGGCTCATGCCTAGAAAGAGGGCGTCATACTACAAGAGCAATTGCCTCTGCAGTAGGCACTTGCTGCTCGCCATTCCCGTCGGTCCATCGATCATTATGCGTTAGCGTGAATTCAACTGGTTCATTCAAGAGCAGATTCATTCAAGTTGTTGTACTATTGGTAGGTGTGTTTGTGTGTCTGTGTGTGCGCGTGTTGCGTGCATGCGCGGGATGACCTCCACGAGCTGGTCGAGGATCTTGATGCCCCCGCGAAGCCAGTACGCTCATATTGTACCATCGAATGAAGTGTGTGTGTGTGTGCATGTGCGCGTGTGTGGGATGCGTGTGCGCGTGTGTGGGGTGCGTGTGCGCGTGTGTGGGGTGCGTGTGCGCGTGTGTGGGGTGCGTGTGCGCGTGTGTGGGGTGCGTGTGCGCGTGTGTGGGGTGCGTGTGCGCGAGGGCGCGTCTCACCTCCACGAGCTGGTCCAGGATCTTGATGCCCCCCGCGAAGTCCGCGCATTTCATGCGCACGCGCAGCAGCATGCGCAGCGCCGTCACGTCGCGCGGGTGCTTCGCCAAAAAGTCCTCCAGCATCTTCACCGCGCGCTCCTGCTCCTCCGCTTGCGCGCGCGTGCTTTCCGCCGCCTCCTTCCCCCCCGCCTTCCCCCCGTCGGGGGTCTGCCGTCCCACTATCGGCGTGGGCGGTGGGGCGAGCGGCTTGTCGGCTTTAGCTTGCGCCGCGCGCGGCAAGCCGAAGGCTAGGCTGAGTGCGACACACGTGCCGACGAGGAACGACGGGCCGTATCGTCGCACGCGTGCGGCGAGCTGATCGGACACGAGACGTTGGAAGTTGTCGCCATCGTCGCACGGAATGGAGTCAGCGCGCTCGGCGACGGATACAGGCGACGTCGCAGCTGATTTGGAACCATATGATTGGCTGGAGGAGCTGAAGAGAGGATATGCTACATTGTTCAACGACCGTGCGCGTTCCTGAAAAGTAGGAAACGATGCCTCGTTTGTCGGACCGTTATTAGCTGACGAAGGCGAATGCGATTCGCACGTGCAGCAAAGCCGCACAGATCCACCACTGATCGCGGCGGGAACGGCGGTCACGGTGACGGATGGCCGAAGGCGGAGCTGCAGATCTCTCGCGAATAGCGACACGCGCGACGCGGTCCCGGACGGGGAAGGAGGCGCGAGGAACGCCATCACGGATTGGCGAAAAAGAAAGGAATTTACGAACCCGACAACACTCTACGTCCTAAGAAAGGGAGAAGTTTATTTCCGTTCGCGCGCACCGTCGTCCCTACGGAAGCATACAAGGCAGGAGGACTAAATGAGAGGAGAGATGGCAGTGGGTGAATGGATGACATTGCAGCATACTTAGGCAGGGGAGTGAGGTTCTGGGTGTGGGGATAAGCATGGTGAGATGGCGGGAAAATGTTTCCTGTGGGACGCGTCAGCTGCCAGCAATAACAACTCATAAAGTGACGTCAAACCACATAAAAGTGTTGGTTTGCTGATTGACCAAATCAACCATACGCAGGCTTCCACTGTAAACTTTTTTGTGTCGAAACTGGCTGTAACGCAGAGTCAAGATGAGCAAGGGCGGGGTGTGGCTGGCGCCCATAAGAACCAATCAGGTAGGCGAAGCGGTTCGTCAGAACCAATCTCGGCTCTGCAGCATCACCACAACGAGGTCAAGACCGTCAGATGCGGAAACTGCACTGAAGATGCGGAAAAGCGCGTGAATTGCTCGCAGAAATCCTGCGACAGACGCCAGTCGCACACATGGTTGCCGAGCTCCGCACAGTAGCCCCCCCGAGTAGGCGCAGCGAAGCGCACACCTGACATCCAATCGCCACAGCTCGCTACGCTGGCTACCATTATCGCAGACATTCGGGCGCTTGGTGGTGGTGGTGGGGCGAAGAAATCAGAAATCTGGCAAGGTTGTTGCCTAGGCGGAGGAAGGAATGCGCTGAATATTCCCAAATGCCTGAAATGCCTAAAGAACCAGCCTGTTGAATGTGCTCTAAAGCGAAGTAGCCATTCCTGTTTGTGCAAATACCCTAAGTCGATTCCTCTGCCTTCGCCATTGCAGGACGCAACGTGCTCTCCTGGAGGCACGTGCACCTCCGGAGGCAGCAGAGTTCAATCATACAAGAAATCGCTGACCATTTCAGCTCGTCCCTACTAATGGCAGCAATTCAAATTAGCAGCGGCGCTGGCGTTGAGAAAGAAGAGAGAACGACGCCGATATGGGACGGCAACAAGGGCAGCAAACCTGACGAGCCCGAATCCCCCATCAGGGCGTCGGGCCATGATGTTGAGGCAGGCTTTATCGCGTCTGGCAAAACAGACGCTGTGACTGCGCATTCCGCTGCTGTCTCCAGCGGATGTGGCGCGGAGGCGGCGGCGACCGCTCCGCCCCGACAACCTGCGCTGTCCGCCCAATCGTTCGCGCCGGTTACCCCAGGCGCAGGCGAAATTTCGACGAAGAGCCGCTCGCGCTTGACTGATAGCGACTGCTCTCCTCGGCCCGCCAATACGACAAGCACCTTGGCTCCGCGCGAGGCCGACGCGGAAAAAGGTGAAACTTGCGCCAACGCGGAGGCGCTAGCGGAGAGGAGAAAGTCAGCGCTGAGGGCTGTGGATTGGCGGAGAAACTGCGGGGACGGCGGGGAGACGGAGGAGCGAATGCGCGCGCAACTGGCGGACGCGCGGAAGATGGTGCGCGCGCTGGTGGGGGAACTGGCGGCGAGAGACGTTGAAGGGGATGATGACGTGGCGTCGGGGGGCGATGACGAGGATGTGGATGATGATGACGAGGATGGGAGAGGCCAAGGGGACGAATTCGATCTGACCAAGGTAGGGTACCATGCTAGACGATGCGTCTCCCATGCGACACTCCCCCTCTCCCTGCCCGTCTTCACCCCCGTTATCTCCCGCGTGCACGCGCCCTCCGCATGCGCCTACTGAAGGTTCTCCCTCCCGCCGCTCATTCATCTTACGCCATTTCCCCGCCCGCACCCGCCGACCCCAGGCGCTGCGGCAGGAGCGGCGGGTGGTGCGGCTGAAGCAGCAGCTGGCGCGCGCGCGGGCGGAGCGGGAATCCCTTGAGGCGGAGATGCGCGCGGAAAGGGCGGAATGGCACGCGAAGGAGGCGGAAAGCCGCAGGGGGAAGGCGGGCGCGCGCACCAGCGGTACCGTAATGGATCCCTGGGGTGAAACTAATACTACTGGGGGGGAGGCCGGAGCTAATAGTGCTGCTGCCGAACCTGCACAGCAGGTTTGCGTCGAGGCCGGAGCTAGAAGCGAGGAGCAGATTACAGCAAGCGAGCAGGCGAGCAGCGGTGACGGCTGCTGCTGCTGTGGGGGGAGTAAGGCGCTAGAGGAGCTACAGGCGCAGGCGATGGTGGCGCAGGGGGAGGTGTTTCTGGTGCAGGCTCAGCTGGAGCGCGCGGAGGCGCAGCTGCTGCGCGTGCAGGAGGAGAGGCGGAAGGAGCGGGAGAGGCATAGGGGTGCTCTGAAGCAGTTCGTGCGATTTGCGATGGAGGATAGGGAGAGGGAGAAGGGGAGAGCTGAGGAGGAGATGGGGAGAGAGAGGAGGGAGATGGAGGGGAGGCGGAGGAAGGAGGTGGGGGGACTGGAGGAGGAGGTGGAGAGGTTGAGGAGAGAAGTGGAGAAGGGAAGGGAGAGGGAGAGAGAGAGGGTGCAGGAGGCGTGGGAGAGAGGGCGGAAGGAGGGGGCAGGTGAGGTGGAGTTTATGAGTAAGGTGATTGGGGAGGGGGAGAGGCGCGTGGGGGAGCTAAGGGCGCGAGTCAGGCAGCTTGAGGAAGAGAAGGGGGAGGTTGAGAGGGAGAGGAGCGAGTGGGACGCGGAGAGGAGGGAGTGGGAGGCAGAGAGGAGGAGGATGGAGGGGTGGGTGAAGAGCGAGCAGGTGAGGAGGAGGGCAGTGGAAGCGGCGTTGAGAAGGGTAGAGCGGGAGGTGGTAGAGCTGAGGAAGGCGAAGGGTGCGGTTGAAGGGGAGAGGAGGGCTGTGGTGAGAGAGGTGCAGAGAGAGGTGGTGAGGGGGAGAGAGAGGGTGGAGGAATTGGGGAGGGAGGTGGAGGGATTGACAGGCGAGGTGCGGGAGTTGAAAGACGATGTGGAGGGGTTGAAAGACGATGTGGAGGGGTTGAAAGACGATGTGGAGGGGTTGAAAGACGGGGACGCACGGCAGGCAACAGGGGCGGCGTGTTTTGAGGAGGCGGACTCTTCTCATAAGGCTGCGTCTGTGTATGTCTGCCGTGTCGCATCGCTGCCGGACGCCATGCCTGCTGCTGCCATCCGCACGGGTGCCGCTGCTGCTGCTGCTGCCGCTGCTCATGCTCGTGGTGGTGGTTCTGCTCGACATGCTTACACTGCTGCTGCCAGCGCTGCCGCTGCTGCTACTGGTGCAGCGACCAGGCGCAGCAGGCACCAAACAGATTCCACACCCATGTGCGCACACCAGTGCTGCTTGCCTTACGCACGTGCCTGTCACACATCGTGGCACCAGGCGTGTGCTGCTATTCCAGGAGCGGCCAGATCAGGTGTCCCTGTTGAGCCGACTCAAAAGCACCAGGCATGTGCGGCCAGGCCAGGTGCGCCTGCACCAGGTAGCACCTGCCTGTATGGAGGCGAGGCAGGTCATTCCCTGGCCAGCAGCAGCCAAGGGTCGGAGGGAGGAGATGGAGGGGCAGCAGTGGGTTGCTGCTCCTGCTGCCCTGGCGGGGATGGTGCAGCAGTAGCAGGTGAGAGGGCGTTCATCACAAGGGAGGATCTGGGCAGACGCATCAAAAGCAGCAGCATCAGTAACAGCAGCAGCAGCAGCAGCATCGAGAGCAATGGGGTTTTGCCCCGTCTCATCGCCCTGGATGGCAGTGGGCATGGCAGGAACGATGGGAGAGGGGCAGGTGCGTGTGATGCAGAGGGGTGGAGAACGGTATACGGGTACAGAGCACATGAGGGGAAGAAGGCGCAGCATGGGTTGTCTCAAAGGGGAAGCAGGAGTGCAGGAGGAGGCGAGAAGCAGGGGCAGGAGCAGGAGTGGGAGGAGAGTGGGCACGAGTTTATCTCTCTCCTGGACGGACTTCACCTATCGCTTGAAATCTAATCTGAGTCACAACTGACCTTGCTGATCCTCCTATACAGGACCGCTGCTGTGTTGTACTTAAGCACTAACTCCAGTGCATTGTATGCTGTCCTCTCTAGGCTTTATCCTTCAATGCGTGCTATACTTACAACTCTCTGGTTTAATGCATTCCATGCTTGCCGTTTTTGGAATCCTAGTGCTGACCTTTCTGCATGATGATCCGTCTGTACAGGACCGATGCTGGGGTGTGCTAAGGGGACTGCAGTGCATTCTTTGCTGCCCCTTGTAGGCTTAATCATTGAATGCGTGCTATACCACTTTGTGGTTCAATGCATTCCACACTTGGTGCTTTTGCAATTGGTACAACATACGGTAAGGTGCACTCCACTGGACTCGATAAATACACGTGCTCCCAGATATCAGCTGTGCCTGGCGGGCAGGCGTGCTGTAGCAGACACAGCAATGCTTTGAGTATAATAAGCAGTGTCGGGCAGGCAATGTTCCCGGCAGCACTCGTGTGTCAGCATCGTGCCCACGCGCAAGCATCACAGAAGGTCCATGAGCATGTTGAACAGCATGCGCACCCATGTATCAGCTGGGCCTGGCAGGCAGTAGTGCAAGCAGTCCGCCCTCCCATCCTTGAGCATCACATGCCCGTCCGGTCTCAACCCCGTGGCTGTATCCACATCCCAATACACACCTCCATACCGCTCTACCACCCGCCTCGCCAGCTCGTTCTGCCGCCCAAAATCCCCCCAGTGGTACGGCAGCTGGGCGGCGTCTTGTCTGTATCGGAGCGGCTTGGAGTGGCGCTTGCAGTGTGCGTGGCCAGGGGGCGTGTTGCGGTAGATGAGGAGGACGTTGGGGGCGACCGTGCGGATGGCAGAGAGGGTGGCGTAGAGCTCTGATACCAACTGCTCGTCCTCTGTATAGTGGGCCCCGCGATTCAGTACAATCGCAGCAACTCGTTTTTCCGTAGAAGCGCCTTCACCCTCTCCACCATTTCCCCCATCCTGCTCCCCCCCACTGCTGGTCCCGTTCAGCACATGCAGCCACGGAAAGCCAATCAGCTTCGGCCAAGCCAGGGTGAGGTTCGGAGAGGGGTCCAGGGCGTCACTCCTCACGAACGCCACGCTGGCATCCGCGCACGTGTCTTCCACGCACAGCGCGTGGTGCGCGCGTGTCGCTATCTCCCTCCCCCACTGCCTGCAGAACGCAGGCAGGCTGTCTGTAGGAGCGCAGTTGGGCGGCAGGTTTTGTCGTTTCTGGCTGGACGTGCGGTTGAACCCCATGAACAGTGAGTTGCGCAGGGCAGCAAAGAGCATGCCACTGAGCGAGTCGCCCACGATAAGCAGTCGTCGCCCCGCCAGCTTCCTAACCAGCTCCCTGCTATCAAACTCCCGCCATGGCCCACACTTGCTGCTAACGTTCCATCGGTATTTCAGACTCTCCCGCACCCTCCACTGCCCCGGATCCCCATTTCCGGCCGCCTGGGCTTGAGTAATCCTCGTCCCGCTTTTCTCTTCCGCCCGTCGTTTCGAACCTGCTGTGGTTCCGTCCCCTGCTGTTATTCCGCCCGCCACCGCTATGCCGTCCGCCAGAGCGATTCCGTCTGCCTCCTCAAACGCCACCCTCCCCCCGCCCTGCGCCACGTGTCCCTCGTCGCACTGGCGCCCGCCGTCCCACTGTGTCGGCAGCGCCCACGGAAGGACACGTGGAGTCGCGTCGTACCGCCAGCGGCCTCTCGTCGTCAGGCAACGGAGCCGCGAGCGGAAGGCTCTAACGGCTTCTCGCTTCAGCAGCGTGGAACCAAGAATTTCGTTTGGAAAGGTAAACTCTAGACGATCCTGGTCTGGAGCCTGGTTCCGAGTTGACTTTGACTCCAGAGTCGTCACCTTGGCTTGCCGTGCTGCTCCCTGGGATTCTGGGACACCGGCGAATGCGCGACCCCCTGGCTTCTGGTCCTTCGGCGGACCCGGAACCCCTCGGCGGAAGGCGTGATTGGGCGTAATTTCATCCCGACGGGGTCCTTGAATGCCTGGATTTAGCGGATCACGCGCATTGTTTTCAGGACTCCGAGTCGGATGTTGTCGCTGCGACGTTGATTCGCGTGAAGTTTCGAGACCCGTCGCCGCCGGCGATGCCAGTGCGGGGTGCGTGGGAGCGGCAACGACGACTTTTTGCTCTGGTTGGACGAGCGAGAGGAAGTCGAAGCGCGGTGGGATCGCCTGATAGACGGCGATCAGGATAAGTCCAATTGCTGCCGTCAGCAGGAATGTGTGTACTCCAGTGTTGGCGAATTGCCACGCACGAGCGGCGTGAGACGGCGTAGACGGAACGGAATCGGATTCGATTTTACTGTTGCTCTCAGGATCTGAAGCTCCGCACAATCTCTCCTCGTCGTCCGGAATGACAGGCATTTCGATGCTGATGTATGGGAAAAAAACACGAATTCCAGAATATAGTACAAATTGGGTGCTGATTGCAAGTTCAGAGCACATACTTCACACGTCTAAGGCACAACAACAAAGAGACGTCATGGCGTCGGCAACCCACTCTCGAGAGAGCGTGGGGTTGGAATGAATGGATGGAAGGCCAGGAGAGGAGCAGTGATTGCCATCAAAGGAAAGCACTGGCTTTGTTCTGCACTGGGAATGGCGGATCGCTTCGATGGATTGATGTGAATCCTCGAGATCAGCTCATGGTTGACGGACGGCGGCGTGTACTGTAATGGCGAATTGAACAGGCAGCAAGTTCTGTTCAGGGGTCCAAAGGAACGGATTCCATCAACTTGCTCGACGCGATGCATCTCTACGGAACCCAGGCGAAGTCAGTTTGTGTCAGAACAGAACGGAGCGTACAGTAATGACGGAAGGCGGGCGAACAGTGGTTACCAGCTCCCGCGCTTTTCCTGATTCGTGTAGAACTGCGAGCGTGTATCGGGTGCCGATCTGTACGGACGCGATTAGAGTAGACGATCGATCGTCAGTCGAGATCGGTGTGCGGATCGGTTACCCTATCTACTACACTGTAATCATACTACAGTACGTTTTCTGCCAAAATTTCTCTACAGTTTGCGAATGCGACTGATCACTGATCGCTGGAGATCTGTCAATTTTAAAGGGGCGATCGTTACAGCGTCGCGGTCGCCACGTTGCGCTAATCGACCTGCTTACTCGATTGTGGGGCTCGATATTTGCAGACGATCCTGCGATATTTGTACTTGTACCGCGTCATAAAACACCCTCTCTGCTACTGGTAAGTTTATAACAGAAAACTCCCACTATTATACAGCTCCATACTATATATCATTCCCATCACTCAAGTGTCCAACGATTATGTTTATCTCCCTACCTTATAGCGGAATAGTGGATGTTATCAATAGGGCGATTTTCCTTGTCCCGAGGCGATGCTTACGAACGATATGATATGCCAGAAGCCATTGTGGTTCCAAGACGCGGAGCCTGGACGCATTAGTTAGGTTTATGGATTTCGCCTCTTGAAGTTTCCCTCTACTGCTGTGTCCATAGCCGCTATTTCAGCTCGTCACTCCACCGCATGACCCTTTTTTATCAGAACCACTGAAAACAGAGCAATCATGGCGGCACCAGTGGAGGAGGCCGGCGCTCCGCGCTACATCCTGATTCCGCTGCACGGCACAGGCGAGGCGGTGGCGGTGGACGTGGATCGCCTGCCGTCCGATCACGGCGATCTGGTCGACATTCTCAAGGGCGAGCAGGCGCCGCTCGACTGCTGGCTGCACCTCGCGGTGGGTGCGCAGCGGCGGGTAGAGACAAAAATCTGATTACGCTCAGTACTCACGTGGGTGCACAAAGGTCGGTGCCCTGGGGGTGGGTGCACACAGGGCGAGGCCTTCCCTGATGCATTGCTAACACCTGTTCTGGCATCCTGGGTTTCATAAATTTGGATGTCCTGACGTGGAATGACGTGGAATAACATGCACTGACACGAACTGAGACGGTCTGACACGTACGGACATGTACTATCACCCAACACCTTTCGTTTGACAGCAACCAGGTCCCTTGGCTGACCCTCTCCCTTGCGTGCTTTCCATCCTGTGTTGTCAAAACGCGCAACCCCATGCTGTTCTTCTCGCAGAGAGCGTACTTCAAGCAAGGCAACACAGCGGCATTCCTAGACATCCTATCAGAAGGCACCTCGCCAGGTACCACCGCCCTTCCACCACACACGCTCTCACGCTAGGCACACATCATGATTAACGTTTGCTGGAACGAGCGTTATGTTTGTCACCCATGGCCATCATCCCTCGTCCTGTTCGCGCATCCTGTTTGTAGTGTCCTGGGCGCGCAGCGCACTACACAGGCTGACCGTGGAGCCGTGCCTATCACATGCTTCTGCTCCAGCACACCCTCCGCTTCCCCCCCCCCCTTTGCTCCGCTTCCCCTTTCCACCAGACGCGGAGAGAGTATATGAGACGTCTCGCCACGAGCGCATAGCCATGCTGAACGCATTAGGAGCACACTACACGGGGCTGGGGCGCGTGGCACGGCGGCAGAAGCGAGACGAGGTGCTGATCAAGGTGGTGGACTTCTATAACAAGGCTGCTCGTATCAGCAGTGAAGCTGTCGCCACGTGGGTGGGGAAAGGTGAGGAGAGGTGGGGGAAGGTGGGGAGTGGTGGGGTTGGATGCGGAAGAAGGGGCGAATGGGGAGGCGGGACGAGGTGCTGATCAAGGTGGTGGACTTCTATAACAAGGCTGCACGTATCAGCAGTGAAGCCGTGGCCACGTGGGTGGGGAAAGGTGGGTGCGTGGGAGCAAGGAGGTGGGGCCAGAGGGACATGCGGGGGCAGAGGGGAAGACGAGGGAAGGGGGAAGGTTGGGGTTAGGTTGGTGGAGGTGGAGGTGCGACGAGGTGCTGATTAAGGTGTGAAGTTTTCCAACAAGGCTGCACGTTTCAGCAGTGAAGCTGACGCCACGTGGGTGGGGAAGGTGAGGGCACGTGGGGGGCTGGATGGGGGCAGAGGGACAGTTGGGGACTGGGAAAGGTGGGAGATGGTGAATGGCGAGGTGCATCAGGCGGAGTAGATGTCCTCCTTTGCCCTCGCTGCCCTTCCTCTCCTCTCCCCGTCTCTGCTCGTTCCCGTTTCCCCGCAACTCTTTCCTCTCTCCCGTTTCCCTTCCCCCTCTCACTCTCCCCCCCCCTTTTCCCCGTGACAGGGCAGCTGCAGCTGGTGAAGGGCGAGGTGCATCAGGCGGAGGAGATGTTCTCCCTCGCCCTCGCTGGCGCGCCTGACTATGTGCCTGCTCTGCTAGGCAAGGTACTGCTTGCTGGGAGAGATACTGCTAGGGAAGGAATTTTGGGGTAGGTACGCGCTGGCGCTGCTGGGGAGGGTGGGTGCTGTTGGGGAAGGTGCCGCTGGGGAAGGTGTCGCTGGGGAAGGTACTGCTGGGGGAAGAGGGGGGCGCTTCTGCAGAAGGTGGAATTGTTGCGGAGAATTCATTGCCGGTCGCTGTGATGCTGTGATTGATGGTGGTACCTTGCTGCCACGTGTCAGTGGCATCTATGTGTGTGTTTGCGTTTGTGCATGTGTCACTGTTTTGTGCTGTTCGGTGCTGATGCTCCGGGCACCGCTCGCTCTGCATGTTGCCCTCTGCGTTATGATGAGTGCAGGCGTGTGTGCTCTTCCACAAGGCCAAGTTCCAAGACGCTCTCAACCTCTACAAGGTGGGTGGGCCCCTCACTGCACTGCTCTGCATGCTGCCCTCTCCACCATAATGAGTTCATGCTTGTGTGCTGTGCTCTTCCACAAGGCCAAGTTCCAAGGTGGGTGGGTGGTGCAAGAAAAAATGTTCTTTTTGGGTGCAGTTCTCATCCACTCCGTCCGCTCCTCTGTCGTCAGTACATTCTCCTCCTCCGTCGTCGGTACATTCTCCTCCTCCGTCGTCGGTACATTCTCCTCCTCCGTCGTCGGTACATTCTCCTCCTCCGTTGTTAGTACATTCTCCTCCTCCGTCGTCGGTACATTCTCCTCCTCCGTCGTCGGTACATTCTCCTCCTCCGTCGTCGGTACATTCTCCTCCTCCGTTGTTAGTACATTCTCCTCCTCCGTCGTCGGTACATTCTCCTCCTCCGTCGTCGGTACATTCTCCTCCTCCGTCGTCGGTACATTCTCCTCCTCCGTCGTCGGTACATTCTCCTCCTCCGTCGTCGGTACATTCTCCTCCTCCGTCGTCGGTACATTCTCCTCCTCCGTCGTCGGTACATTCTCCTCCTCCGTCGTCGGTACATTCTCCTCCTCCGTCGTCGGTACATTCTCCTCCTCCGTCGTCGGTACATTCTCCTCCTCCGTCGTCGGTACATTCTCCTCCTCCGTCGTCGGTACATTCTCCTCCTCCGTCGTCGGTACATTCTCCTCTGTCTCCCTCTCTGCACTTCCACTCTCTGAGGCAGAAATCTCTCGAAGCATCCTCCTAAGCTTCGTCACTACTTCAACCGACTTGCCGCAACACCCTTGCATGCAGCACCCTTGCATGCAACACCCTTGCATGCAACACCCTTGCATGCAACACCCTTGCATGCAGCACCCTTGCATGCAACCCCCTTGCGTGCGACCCCCTTGCGTGCGACCCCCTTAATGTAACAGCGTAACAGTGTAATAGCCTAACATCATAACATCGTAACAGCCTAACAGCCTAACAGCCTAACAGCCTAACAGCCTAACAGGCTAACAACCTAGCAGCCTATCAGCCAAACAGCCAAACAGCGTAACAGCGTAACAACGTAACAGCATAACAGCTAACAGCGTAACAAAGTAACATCGTGACAGCGTAACAGCCTAACAGCGTAACAGCGTAATAGCCTAACGGCCTAACAGTGTAACAGCCTAACAGCCTAACAACGTTGCAGCGTAACATCGTAACAGCGTGACAGCGTGATAGCCTAACAGCGTAACAGCGTAACAAGGTAACATCCTAACAACGTGATAGCGTAGCAGCGTAACAGCGTAACAGTATAACAGCGTAACAACCTAACAGCCTAACAGTGTAACAGCCTAACATCCTAACAGCCTAACAGCGTAACAATGTAACAGCGTGACAGCGAAACAGCCTAACAGCCTAACAGCCTAACAGCGTAACCGCCTAACAGCCTAACAGCGTAACCGCCTAACAGCCTAACAGCCTAACATCGTAACAGCGTAACAGCCTAACAGCCTAACAGCCAAACATCATAACAACCTAACAGCCTAACAGTGTAACAGCATAACAGCGTAAAAGCCTAACAACCTAACAGCCTAACAACCTAACAGCCTAACAGCGTAACAGCGGCGTAACAGCGTAACAACGTAACAGCCTAATAGCCTTACAGCCTAACAGCCTTGCAGCCTAACAATGTAACAGCCTAACAGCGTAGCAGCGTAACAACGTAACAGCGTAACAGCCTAACAGCCTAACAGCCTAACATCGTAACAGCGTAACAGCCTAACAGCCTAACAGCCAAACATCGTAACAACCTAACAGCCTAACAGCGTAACAGCATAACAGCGTAAAAGCCTAACAACCTAACAGCCTAACAGCGTAACAGCAGCGTAACAGCGTAACAACGTAACAGCCTAATAGCCTTACAGCCTAACAGCCTTGCCCCCTAACAATGTAACAGCCTAACAGCGTAGCAGCGTAACAACGTAACAGCGTAACAGCCTAACAGCCTAACAGCCTAACAGCCTAACAGCGTAACAGCATAGCAGCCTAACAGCCTAACATCGTAACAGCGCAACAGCGTAAGAGGGTAACAACGTAACAGCGTAACATTGTAACAGCGTAACATTGTAACAACGTTACAGCCTAACAGCCTAACAACCTAACAGCCTAACACCCTAACAGCCTAACAGCGTAACAGCCTAACAGCCTAACAGCCTAACTGCCTAACAGCATAACAAAGTAATAGCGTAACAGGCTAACAGCCTAACAGCGTAACAGCTTAATAGCCTAACAGCCTAAGGGCGCGTACCTTTGTCTGTTTTAGTCAAATGTCCAGACGGAGCCCCCAAAACGTCCGAACGGAACTCCGTCCGGACGGATGGGGATGTGGTCCGGACGATGAAGCGTCCGTACCACAATTGTGACACTTTTTTGCAGTTTCAAGATTTGAAATTCGTGCAAAACAGTAGCGCGCATAACCTACCTCGCCAGCACATTGCCCAATTTGCAAGCATGCATTTGCGGCTCGGTAATGTTTGAGCTTTCCAACCACTTGGTCCTCTTGCTCGCGCTACTGTGAGTACAATACAAACAGATTGAAAGTTGGAGTGGGAAATTCGATTCTGAAAAATGTGCCTCACGCACCAATGACGTTGAAGGAGTTCCGGACGGTCCAAAATGCTGTCCGGACGATGTCAGCAGTGTAGAACGGACGATAAGCTGACAGAAAAGTGTCAGACTTCGTACGAACGATCGCGACGTCGCGAGGGGTCTTGCGAACTTGTTGACGAACTCCAACGACTCTCGTAACCCTACAAAAGTCTGGACGGGGCCTCGTCCGAACAATGAAAAGTGAAAAAGTTACGCGCCCTAACAACCTAACAGCCTAGCAGCCTATCAGCCAAACAACCAAACAGCGTAACAGCGTAACAACGTAACAGCGTAACAGCTTAACAGCCTAACAGCGTAACAGCGTGACAGCTTGACAGCGTAACAGCCTAACAGCGTGACAGCCTAACAGAGTAACAGCGTAATAGCCTAACAGCCTAACAGCCTAACAGCGTAACAGCCAAACAGCCTAACAGCCTAACAGCGTAACAGCCTAACAGCCTAATAGCGTAACATCATAACAGCATAAAAGCCTAATAACCCAACAGCCTAATAGCGTAAGAACGTAATAGCGGCGTAACAGCGTAACAACGTTACAGCCTAACAGCCTTACAGCCTAACAACGTAACAGCCTAACATCTTAGTATCGTAACAACGTAACAGCGTAACAGCTTAACAGCCTAACAGCGTAACAGCGTAACAGCCTAACAGCCTAACAACTTAACAGTCAACAGCGTAACAGCCTAACAGCCTAACAACCTAACAGAGTAATAGCGTAACAGCCTAACATCCTAACAGCGTAACAGCGTAACAGCGTAAAAGCCTAACAACCTAATAGCCTAACAGCCTAACAGTGTAACAGGGTAACATCGTAACAGGGTAACAGCGTAGCAGTGTAACAGCGTAACAGAACAGCCTAACAACCTAATAGCCTAACAGTGTAACAGCCTAACAACCTAACAATCTAATACAGCGTATCAGCGTAACAGACAGCGTAACAGCGTAACAGCCTAACAGCCTAACAGCGTAACAGCCTTACAGCGTAACAGCCTAACAGCCTAACAGCCTAACAGTCTATCAGCCTAACAGCCTAACTGCGTAACAGCATAACACCTTAACATCCTAACAGCGTAGCAGCGTAACAGCGCAACAGTGTAACAGTCTAACATCCCAACAGCCTAACAGCGCAACAGCGCAACAGCCCAACAGCGTAACAGTGTAACAGCGTAATAGCGCAACAGCCCAACAGCCCAACAGCCTTACAGCTTAACAGTGTTTGCGACCCTCTTCCGTGCAACCCGCTTGCATGCAACGCCACCCCCTTGCATGCAACCCGCTTGCATGCAACGCCACCCCCTTGCATGCAACCCCCTTGCATGCAACCCCCTTGCATGGAACCCCCTTGCATGCAACCCCCTTGCATGCAACCCACTTGCATGCAGAACTCTGAGATGCCTTTCTCTCAGCACACCCGCTTCCCCCCTTCTCACCTACTCTTCCCTCTTTCTCCCCTTTTCCCCGCAAGCAGAAGGTACTGCAGCTGCACCCTAGCTGCCCGCCATCAGTGCGGCTGGGCATCGGCCTGTGCCACCTGCGTCTCTTCGCCTCCTCAGCAGCGCGCCAGCCAGCAGCAGCACGCAGGGAGTTCCACGCGGGCAAGGCCAGGCAGGCGCTGGAGCGGGTGCTGCAGCTGGAGCCAGGGAACGCAGACGCGCTGGTGGCTCTTGGGCTGTTGGATGTGAACTCCGACGATGGTACGGGGCATTGCCTATGCTGCATGACGCGCGCGTGGCACTGGGGCTGCTGGATGTCATTTTAAATTATGGTACGAGGCTTGGAGCATGGGGCACGGTGAATGGTGTGTGCTACGATGCATGGGTGTCTGATATGAGCACGGTTGGGCTACCAACACCACGGGCCCCGCCCTCCATGTCTGACCTTTCCTGTGGCCACCCATCATGACCTGCCCCCTCCCCGGTCACCACTCCGCCTCTGTTCTGTTGGAGTGACTTTTGAGAATTCTCAAAAGTCACTCCAGCCACCCATCCTGCACCGCACCTCCATCGCCCATCGTTCCCTTCACCTGCCCCACCTCTCTGTCCTCCCCTCTGCCCCCTCGCCTACCGCAGTCACAGCAGTGCAGCGGGGCCAGCAGCGCATGCTAGCAGCGTTCCACGCCTTCCCGTTCCACCCCATGGCGCTCAACCATCTCGCCAACCACGCCTTCCTCGCCGGCCCTTCACTGCACGGCCTGGTCGACCCCCTGGCTGCGCTCGCCCTCGCCAGCACAGAAGCTTCTCTGCCGCGCGCTGAAGCATACTACTGCCTCGCGCGCACCTACCACGCTCAGGTGAGAAATTAATTGCGCAGGTGGCATGGCTGCCACTCCTCCCTGGTAGAATCCCTCCCTCCCTCCCTGCACGGCCTGGTGGACCGTCTGGTTTCACTTGCACTCGCCAGCACCGAGGCTGCCCTGCCGCGTGCTGATGTCTACTACTGCCTTGCGCATACCTACCACGCTCAGGTGAGTTGTGCTTTCCCGTGCCATCACCACGCCCAGATGTGCATCACGGCATGCGCATGCCGTGTCCACGTGCACCCAGCGCCAGTCACTCGATCCTTCCCTTCTCGAAGCATTCTGTCTGTCTCCGTTCCCTTCCCTTTGCTTTGGGTGTCACGGCACAGGGCGACAGGAAGAAGGCGTTTGCGTATTACAAGGCGGCCACGGAGACAGTGCAGCCGGGGGAGTTCGCGCTGCCCTACTACGGTACGCTGTCTCCCACCCACTCTCCCGTTGCTCTCTGTCGCTGTCACCTGCTGCCTCGAGTCATACGGTCGCTCCGCGCCGCAAAGCATGATACCTCTCACTCTCTCTGGTTGTCGTGACACATTCTTAGACTCAAAGGCAAGGGAAGGCATTCTGGTAAGCATGTGCGTGACTGACTAATGGGTGTACGCTCCCCCTCCCCCCCCTTTCTCCCCTGCGGGCAGGGCTGGGGCAAATTCAGCTGAGTCTGGGCGACGCCAAGGCGGCAGTGGGCACGCTGGAGAAGGTGCTGGCCGTGCACCCCACCAACAGTGACGCGCTCAAGGTGAGACAAGGGAGGGAAGTGGGCGACAGCGAGTTGGGGTGCATGGGTAGCAGCACCACAGGGAGCATGTTGAGCAGGTTGGGCAAGGCATGGATGCTGGTAACCCGCAGAAGGTGCTGGCCGTGCACCCCACCAATAGACCTACCTACCAACGCCCAAGCCCAGCGCCCTAGCCCAACGCCCAAGCCCAGCGCCCAAGCCCAACGCCCAAGCCCAGCGCCCAAGCCCAACGCCCAAGCCCAACTGTTAGTGTTAGCCGTAAATCTCACACTTTGTATTCTCTACTTTCAATATCCTAGCGCAGTGCGCGCCTGGTCCAAGTGCGCGCCTGGTCCAAGTGCGCGCCCTCGTTGAGGTGAGAGAAGGGAGGGAAGGGGGGAACAGTGAGTTGGGGCGGTGGTAACCTGCAGAAGGTGCTGGCCGTGCACCCCATCAACAGCCATGCTTTCAAGGTGAGAGGGAGACGGATACACAGTGGGAGGCCGAAACAGCTCAGAACCATATCCCTCTCAAGGTGCAAGGCTTGCCAGAGGCTTAGGGAAGGGCAGGGGTAGCAGCAGCACAGAACGCACTATGAGCAGTTTGGATAGACCTCTAGAGGCGCTGGGCTGGGCTCACTGGAGACTGTGCTTCTTGTAAGGTGCTGTACACCCCACCGAATGCTTTTCTCCCGTTCATCCCCTCCTCCCTCCGTGCCTTTCTGTTTGTGGGGCCGGCAAAACTAAGCCTTGGCGTGGCCTTGCTTCTCGTCCAGCCATGTCCGCTTTCGCTCCTCCTCTGTACATCCTCTCTTTCCCCCCCCCCTCCCCCATTAGCTGGTGGGCGCCATTCACCTGCAGCAGGGCCGGCAGGACCAAGCCCTGGCGTGCTTCCGCAAGATCACTCAACACTGCCCCTCTGACATGGATGTGAGTGAAGGCGACCAAGTGTGACCATGTGTGACCATGTGTGACCATGTGTAACCATGTGTGACCATGTGTGACCACGTGCGACCACGTGCGACCACGTGCGACCATGTGTGACCACGTGTTGACCATGCATGACCATGCGTGACCATGCGTGACCATGCGTGACCAAGCGTGACCATGTGACCATGCGTGATCATGCGTGACCATGCGTGACCAAGCGTGACCATGCGTGACCATGCGTGACCATGCGTGACCATGCGTGACCATGCATGACCATGCGTGACCATGCGTGACCATGCGTGACCATGCATGACCATGCGTGACCATGCATGACATGCGTGACCATGCGTGACCATGCGTGACCATGCGTGACCATGCGTGACCATGCGTGACCATGCGTGACCATGCGTGACCATGCATGACCATGCGTGACCATGCGTGACCATGCGTGACCATGCATGACCATGCGTGACCATGCATGACATGCGTGACCATGCGTGACCATGCGTGACCATGCGTGACCATGCATGACATGCGTGACCATGCGTGACCATGCGTGACCATGCGTGACCATGCGTGACCATGCGTGACCATGCGTGACCATGCGACCATGCGTGACCATGCGTGACCATGCGTGACCATGCGTGACCATGCGTGACCATGCGTGACCATGCGTGACCATGCGTGACCATGCGTGGCCATGCGTGACCATGCGTGGCCATGCGTGACCATGCGTGACCATGCGTGAGCATGCGTGAGCATGCGTGAGCATGCGTGAGCATGCCTGAGCATGCGTGAGCATGCGTGACCATGCGTGACCATGCGTGAGCATGCGTGAGCATGCGTGAGCATGCGTGAGCATGCCTGAGCATGCGTGAGCATGCATGACCATGCGTAACCATGCGTGACCATGCGTGATCATGCGTGACCATGTGTGACCATGTGACTATGGGGCAGCATGTGGGCATGTGACATGGGTGTTGTGGTGGAGGGCATGCATGAGGATCAAGATCACCCAGCACTGTCCTTCTGACATGGACGTGAGTGGATGTGTCCGTGTGACCATAGGTGCAACAGCATGTTGGGATATGTGTGGCGGAGTGTACACATGGCATGGTGTGCGTTAGGGATGAGCAAAGGGCGAACACGAACATGTTCGTCTTCGCCCCTTGTCGAACACCCTCTTTTGCCGAACCGAACACTGTTCGGTTCGGCGAACAGTTTAGGAAAAAACAGGTGTTCGCTGTTCGCCTGTGGAGGCGTGTTCGGGCGAACCTCGAACACTGTTCGTGTTCGTCGCGGGCAAATTTCAGCAGCGGCCCGAACACGAACGTGTTCGGGCGAACATCGAACACTGTTCGGCGAACGATTTGAGCTAAAAAACAAAACCTGTTCGGTTCGCCTCGAACACGTTCGAGGCGAACCGAACAGGTGTTCGCCACCTTGCTCATCCCTAGTGTGCGTATGTGGGAGTGAGGTGAATGCTGGTTCCAATTGCAGAGGCATCACTCCCCTGCTGCATCCTCTGTGTGGCTCACGTGTCTCTTCCTTCCTTCTTCTCCATGGTTCCTACTTCCTGCTTCCCCATGCATCTGTGCGACACCAGGCATGGTTGGAGGTGGGAGAGCTTCTCGTCTCCTCCGACCTTCCTGCTGCGCTCGAGTCTCTCAAGAAGGTGCGCTCACACCCCAGGTTCACGGTGCACTGCAGTGCTTGGCTGCGCTGCAAGGGTTGCTGTGAAGGGCCCACATACTCGCGCTGATACACGCTCTTCTGCCCCACTCGCCCCCATGTCACTGCCATCGCCCCGCCTTGACTCACGTGTTGCTGTGTGTCCCTCGAATTCGTCCTCCTTTTGCGAGCTCTACTGGAGTGCATGCATATGAGCGCATGTGCGAGGTGTTGGCCAAAGTGGGTGCGCGTGGCTGTTGCATCCGCTCTCCATCCCCATGCCACCTGTAATGCCCTACCGCACCTCACTATTCTCCTCTCCTCCCCCCACCCCTCCTCTCTTCCCCTGGAGTGCAGGCATACGAGCGCATGGTGAAGGTGGTGGGCAAGGAGGGCGTGTCAGTCCCATCGGACTCGCCTCACTTATTCTCCTCTCCCTCACTTATTCTGCCTCCTCCACCCCCCTGTCTTCCCCTGGAGTGCAGGCATATGAGCGCATGGTGAAGGTGGTGGGCAAGGAGGGCGTGTCAGTCCCATCGGACTCGCCTCACTTATTCTCCTCTCCCTCACTTATTCTGTCTCCTCCACCCCCCTCTCTTCCCCTGGAGTGCAGGCATATGAGCGCATGGTGAAGGCGGTGGGCAAGGAGGGCGTGCCGTGGCAGCTGGTGAACAACATTGCCGCGCTGCAGCATGAGAGGGGCGCGTATGAGGTGAGAGCAGCATGAGAGGGGCGCGTACGAGGTGAGATGCGTGACTATGTTGGAAAAGTCGCGCCCAGCGTATTATACGCCAGCGTATATACGCTGGCGTATAGTACGGGATGCGCTACAAGAGTGATTTTGTTATACGCTGAAAATACGCTGCCCGGGCAGGTAAAACTTTTTCCCGGGCAGTGCTATCCAGAAGATTCGCATCCGCGATTGTCGCGTCACAGGAGGAGGCACTAGGAACCTCACTTGTCGCACTCGCGGGAGTGCCATTAGGGGTCGACATCATAAGGTTGTCGAGGGAACTGGAGAGAGAATGAACGAGCGGAGGAACTCACCTAGGTGAGAGAGTTGCGTGGTTGGCTGGTTGATGACATTTGTGAAGATGAGTTGGAGTCTGGGGGTAACAGAAGGTGCAATGCGGTTGAAATGTCCCCCACGTCTCGAATTTTATGTGTTAGGGTTGACGAGATTGTTTGGGACGTGCGCACAATGTGAGTCTCGTTGCAAACTCAAATTTCGTGCGCGATTTTTTATTTTTTTTTGCCGGGCAGCCCAGACATTTTCGAGCGAATATACGTGCGTATTGCGTACTCCGTATATACGTCCACGCATATACGCTGTACGTTGTCCCTGGCTGGTGACTTTTCCAACATAGATGCGTGATAGTGCAAGTACCATAGTCACCAGCGTTTGCTTTCAAACCATTGGTGCTGTACTTGCTTTTGTACAGGCCCCTCCGTTCCAACACCGCTGGTCACCTTCCCCTGCCCCTCTGCTGCTCTCCCCCTGTCCGTTTGTCCCTCTGTCGTTCTCTCATTTTTCCCCGGCTCACCACTGCTCCGCCCCCATCGCTACAGGAAGCAGTGGCAGCATACAAAGAGGCATTGGGGCCACATGGGCCGTGGGCGCCCATCCTGCACCCTGAGGGGGCTGCACATGCAGCGGGTGGTGGGGATGCAGGGAGGGAGGCACTGCCAGTGGAGAAGGTGACAGTGGTGTTCAACCTCGCTCTCTCCCTCTCCCCCTCTGCACCCCGTTCTACCCCCCCCACCCCACCCACAGGAGGCAGTGCAGGCGTACAAAGAGGCTCTGGGCCCACACGGGCCGTGGGCGCCCATCCTGCACCTTGAGGGGCTTGCAGACGAGGACGAGAGGAAAGGCGCAGAGACAGCACTGCCAGTGGAGAAGGTGACAGTGGTGTTCAACCTCGCTCTCTCCCTCGAGCGCACCTGCTGCCTCACCCAGGCCGCTGCCCTCCACCGCCTCATCCTCTCTCAGGTGTGCCCTCCACCGCCTCACCCTCTCTCAGGTGTGCCCTCCACCGCCTCATCCTCTCTCAGGTGTGCCCCATTATCGGTTTGTGTTCAACTTAGATGTACCTTCGTACTCGCAGCTGCCCCTCCTTTGTTTCGGCCTGGGTGCTTCTCCTGTCGTATCACCAGCTGCCCGTTGCGTTTTATCACCCCACCCACCCCCACCCCAACCCCCCCTTACCCACTCCTCAGTACCCATCCTACCTGGATTGCCACCTGCGCCTGACAGTCATGGCACTGGACCGTTGAGGCAACCTGCCCCGTCCCTCCGTGCCCTGCACTCTCCCAACCCCCCCTTCACCCTCCCCTCTCCCCCAGTACCCATCCTACCTGGACTGCCATCTACGCCTGGCAGTGATGGCACTGGACCGCCGAGACAACGCCACTGCCATGACGCATGTGAGCGGGGAGGGGGAGAGGGGGTGGGGGGTGATTGGCAGATGGGAAACAACTGGAAAGCGTCAGTGGGAGAGGGGGGAAATTGATTGGCAGGTAAGGAGCGGGCGGGAGTTGATGGGTCGAGGCCCTTGTAATTGCAGGTGAAAGCTGTGGTATCGTATCACACAATGCTACCACCATTGGATGCTCTCTTGCTGCATCGAGACATGAACTCAACCCATTCCCCTCTTCCCGCACTTGTTTCCTGCTTGCTCCACTCCTGGTGCACATATCAATAGCACTGCAGAAAGCAGTGTGGGTGTGCTGCTGCTCATCTTGGCATACCTCAGCCCATCTCCCCCCCCCTCCTCCTTCCCCATGTATACTTGTGCCTCTTCTGCTGCAGATATCAGCCGTGCTACAGCGTGCGCCTGACAGTGTGGACGCGTTGCTGCTGCGCAGCCGGGCAGAGGCGGAGAGGGACGACCATGCGGCAGCCAAGGACACGCTCAAGCGCATCGTGGACCTCTCGCCTGAGAAATGCACTGCTGCCCTTGTTGCCCTGGTGAGTAGCATCTCTTGTCTCATTGCCTGGCGCACTCAAGGACACGCTGCAGAGCACGTGCATGGAGAGGAGAGAGACGGCCGTGCAGAGCACGTGCATGGAGAGGAGAGAGACGGCCGTGCAGCGGCCAAGGACACACTCAAGGGCATTGTGGACCTCTCCCCTGAGAAATGCACCACCGCGCTCGTTGCTCTGGTGCGTGCCATGCTCTCGTCTTGTTGCTCTGGTGGGGTTTCTGAGTCGAATGCAGTGCAGAGTGCTCATTCCTTGGTCCACGCAAGGGCACGCTCAAGTGCATCGTGGACCTCTCCCCTGAGAAATGCACGGCTGCGCTGGTTGCTCTGGTAGGCATCCTAAGTTGAGATGTCTTGGCTGTGCTCGTTGAATGAAACCCATGAATGAATGCACTAACCTCTAAGGCTATACCTCCTCCAAAACTCCCCGTTGTGTCCATGAATGATGGTATGGCAGGGCAACTGGAACTTGAACATGAGTGCTCGCCCCACGCGCGACACCAAAGCAGAGGCATCCTTCCTTGAGAAGGCCCGGGAGATGTTTCACAAGGTGCGTGGGGGGGTGGGTTGGTGGGAAGATGAGATGCTTTCGCACGGTTTAAGTCAACTCAAATCTCGAACCACGCGGGAGATGTGCACCAAGGCAGAGGCATCATTTCTTGAGAAGGCGTGCGTGGGGGGATAAATTGGTGAGAAGATGAGATGCTTTCTCAAGTTGGGGAAGAGATGCTTTCATGCTGTCCTTCATGGGTTCTTTTTTTTCGAATCGACGCTGTGATATCAACGCTGTTTCAACACGCAGCAGCAGTTCCTCCTGTGCTTGCTCTCTGCTCACTCTTTTGCCAACCCACTCTCTTGGAGGCGCCTCTCCTCTAAGCGGCGCCTCTCCTCAACCACAACCCCATACAACCCCCACTTCCCCCACCTCCCAGGCATTGACGGGCAGCAGCAGCAACATGTATGCAGCGAACGGGGTGGGGAGTGTGGTGGCGGAGAGGGGCCTGTTCGACGTGGCAAAGGACATCTTCACCTCCGTGCAGGAGGCCTCCTCTGCCCCCGGCACCACCGACCTGCCAGACGTCTGGATGAATCTCGCTAACGTGCATTTGGCCAAGGGGGATTACGCTCTTGCTGTCAAGCTGGTGAGCGAACTGTGCTTTATTGCAACTGCTGCTTGCAGTGAGCTGATGCTTGCAGTGAGCTGATGCTTGCAGTGAGCTGCTGCTTGCAGTGAGCTGATGCTTGCAGTGAGCTGATGCTTGCAGTGAGCTGATGCTTGCAGTGAGCTGATGCTTGCAGTGAGCTGATGCTTGCAGTGAGCTGATGCTTGCAGTGGAGCATTCTTTGCTCGTGTCCTTTCCACCATCACAATGAAACCCAGTCTTCCTCTCTTCCCCTCTTCCTCCTCCTCCCCCTTCCCCTCTCCCTCCTCCTCCCCTCTCCAACAGTACGAGAAGACTTTGAAACGCTTCTTTGCAAGCGGGGCAGTGGGGGCGAGCGGGGCCGAGGGCTTCCACTTGCGCACTTTGTCCTATATGGCGCGCGCGCAGTACGACGCCGACCAGCTGGCGCAGTGCCGCCGCTCGCTGCTGCTGGCGGTGCATGTAGCGCCGAACAACGCCGCCCTGCGGTTCAACGTGGCGGTGGCGCTGCAGAAAATGGCCGTGACTGTGCTGAAGCAGGAGAAACGGACGGCAGAGCAGGTATGGATGAGAGGGAGGAGGCGTGGGAAGGATTGGGGAAAGAGGGGTGAGATGGAGCATAACAGCGGTGGTGCAGCAGAAGATGGCAGTGACTTTTCTCAAGCAGGTGAAGCGGACGGCTGAGCAGGTATGGCTGAGAGGGAGGGGACGTGGGTGGGAAGGATTGGGAAGGGTAGGGGAGGGAAGGGCGAGGAGGGAGCACGACAGCGATGGCACTGCATAAAATTGAAGTTACTGTGCTGAAGCAGGAGAAACGGACGGCTGAGCAGGTATGGTGGAGAAGGAGGGGTGAGGAGTGAGCCAGGCAGGTGGAGGGGGAGGGGGCATGCGTGCAGAAGGAGCAGAATGACTGTGGTTCTGGACAGAGTTGGCTGTTGATATGGTGGCACAGGAGATGAGCAGTGCAGGAAAGTGAGTGCTTGCTGCCACGGCCCAGTCCATATCTCCTCGCATGCCTTCCAACGCCCACCCTCTCCCAACGCTTACTCCCGTCAACGCCCACTCACTTCAACTCACTCCAATGATTGCCTCGTTGCTCGTGTGCATCAGGTGCGCAAGGTGGTGTCCGACTTGAAGACCGCCCTCCGGCTCTTCTCCCAGGTGTGCCAGCACATCCCGTCCCACCCAGCACATGTCCCACCCAGCACATCCCGTCCCACTCACTCCCCACATCATGTCTCTTTGCCACTCCACACCCGTATTGGTGATGCATCACGATTCTCACTGCATCAACCTGTCACTTCCTTCATCGCTGCATGCGCTATCACCTGTGTGCATCCCACAAGCACTTACTGCCGTTGCTACTCAATCATACATGTGTGCTGCTGTGTGTATGTGTGCTGACGGGGCGTTTGCTTTGTATGTGCATGTGTGTGTGTGTGTATGACTGTGTGACTGTGCAACTACGCCAGCTGGCAACGCGGGGAGTACAGGGGTCACAGGGGGGGGTCGACAAGAAGAAAGCCAACTCGCACCTCGAGTACTGCCAGGTGATTCTCACAGTTATTTTCTCGTTCAGGCTCTATGTTGAATCCGTTATGCCCATGTGAATGGGTATCTCTGGCAGGGTGGCTTCACCGCACCACTATCCCGTCTCCATCAGCATCCCCATCCCCAACCCCATAACGATCACCATCAGCATGTGCCCAGCTCAGCCAAGCAGCACCTGGAGGTGGCTGAGAGGGAGGAGCAGCAACACAAGGCCAGCTCTCCCCCTCTTTTGTCTCACTCTCCCTCCCCCCCCCGCATACCACCCATGCCCATGCCCATCCCCATGCCCATGCCCATGACCAACAACACATCAGCATGTGCTCAGCTCGGCCAAGCAGCATCTGGAGGTGGCCGAGAGGGAGGAGCAGCAGCGCAAGGTCAGCTCCCTCTCCCTCTTTCTCCCAGTCTCGCCGTTCCCCTCCCATCCTCCTCATCTCATTCCTCTCTCTCACTACCCCCATATCCCATGACCCCATCGCTCACCACCCCATCGCCCATGCATCTTGTTGTCTCATTCTCCCCGGTCAGTACCTCCTATCGCATTCCTTCACTCCTGTTACCCCCCCTCCCCCTCACCACTTTGCCATTCATCCCTGATCTATTCCCCTTCTTCGATTCTCATCTCCCCTCCTCCCCTCTCCCGCCCCTCTCCTCTCTCTCATTCTTGCATGCGCCCCTCGCATGTATGCATGGCTCACAAATGCCCCTTGCATGTATGCCTAACCCGCCCCACCCCTACCCTCCCCCGTCCCTGTGTGTGCGAGCAGCAACGGGCGGAGGCGGAGAGGCAGGTGGCAGAGGCAGAGGCGTCGAAAAAGAGAGCGGAGGAGGATAAGCTGCTGGAGGTAGGTTGGATAGTGCTGGTGGGTGAAATTGGGTGCTGGTAGGTGCTGATGGGTGCTGGTGGGTGCTGATTCATTGGTTCTTGTTAGTGCTGGTGAGTGTTTGGAAAGGGATATCAGTGAGTGAGTTGCAGCAGTGCTTCTGTTCCCCATCGCGCTCCCTCCCATCCCATGTTACCCTGCCCATAATGCGCTCTGCTCTGCTCTGCCTTTCCCCGCACTCTGCTCTGCGTTTCCTCCCCATTGCTGGGTGGCAGGCGGAGCGGCAGAGGAGGGATGAGGAGGAGAGGCGGCTGCTGGAGCAGGAGGAAGAGATCAAGCGCCGCATGGTGAGTGGGGTAGGCGGGGAGAAGGGGGAGTGCGTGCTGAATGGAGGGTGGCGGGTGTGGGGAGAAGTTTGGGTGGGGGGTGTGGGTTGGGGGTGGTAGGTGGGGTGTTGGGGGGAAGGGTGGGTGGTGGGTGGGTTGGTTGTGGGTACGAGATGGGGGGGGATGGAGGGAATGGGTGGCAGACCTGGTGTGTGATGTGCAAATCCATTCATGTCTGGTTAGTGCTTCTCCTCTGGCCTGTATCCTTCGTCTCCATGATCTGCATTCACTCTCTCTCTCTCAAATGGTCCGTTGTATTAATTCAGCAGGGGTACAGACATGCAGTTCTATCCATGATAACCTCAATCCCATAAGCCCATCAACTCACCCCTCTTCCCCTCCCCTCCCCCCTGAGTGACCCTCTAGCCCTCCAGCGTGTGGAGGATGTCCCCCAGGTGCAGCGGCCAGGGGTCCGCTGCCATCTGGGGGTGTGCTGCCTCAATCCCAGCCCTGGCCTTGGTGTGCAGGGCGTTCGCCTGGGAGCGCTGGAGGGCCACTGACCAGTGCTGGCTGAAGTGGCAGGCCATCTTCTTGGCGGATTTCGCCAAGGGGCTGGCCCTGAAGCGGTTCCTAGCTGCTGCTGTGGCCAGCAGTTTCAGGAACGCCGTCGTGGGGGGCGCGTTTGCCCCATAGGTCTCGACGGCCAGGGCGTAGAACACCACGTGTTCAGTGTGTCGGTAGTAGTCCCTCTCCTTCCGCTTCTGTGCCTCCCTTGCAGCCCAACCTGGGGGTTTGCGGGCCGTAGGGTCTCGGTTCTGCAGCACAGGGTCAGTGATAGTGGTGTCTGTGATCCAGGTCTCTCCGCTGTCCGGGTCTTGTACAATCACATCTGCCTTCTTCGGGTCATCCGGAGGTGAGTACATCACATTCTCCAGGTATACCACCAGCTGCGCCTCCCTCGTCATTTTAGCCATGGCGAAGGCCAGCTGGTTGTGTGTGCGCGTCCTGTTGGGGCCTGTGCTGCAGCGGAGTAAGTGGTTGGGTAGGCTGCAGTCGGCTATGAGTTCTCCGCACTCGCACACGGTTGGTACATTCTGTCGGATGCCCATGCGGAAGGCCAGGGCCGCTCGGAACTGTCCCGGTGAGAAGCAGAGGTCCGGGGTCAAGGGTAGTGCCTGCAGCCACGCTCCCGCTCCCTCTCCTCTCAGGCTGACTAGGCGGAGTGTGTGGCCCATCTCGGGGGCTGACTGTATTGCGCGTGACTCCTCTCTTAGGGCGTCGGCCTTTGCCGCGTGCACTTCCTGGGAGAGGGCGCGCTGCAGCTGGTCCTGGGACGGGGTTTGCTGCTCCTCCCGTAGGTTTTGTAGCGCCAGCGGTGGCAGTCGCCCCTCCATGTCCTGGATGGTCACGGAGTGCGCTGCAGACGGCTGCAGGGCGTTGCTGTCGGCCCCCAGCGGCGCGGTTGCCAGTAAGTCCAGGGAGCGGAGCAGGCGCAGCGCCTCTGTTGTAGATGCCAGGTAGGCCGGTGCTGCTTCAGTTGTGGGGTCCGTAAGGCCCAGTCCGCCTAGGGCTACTGGGAGAGTTGGCTGTCGGAGAAGGAAGTTGAACTCGGCTTGTCGGCGTGGCAGTTGAATGCTGGCGGCGGTCAAGGCAGTGTTCAGAAATTCGGCGCACCATGTGTGCCATTCCGAGAGCGGTAAGACGTCAGCTGGGGTAGTGCGCAGCAGGTAGCCGACTCTGCGGCTGATGCAACGAGACAGTAGCAGGAGGGCGTGTTGTGGGTGGATGGACGCCAGAGAGCCCAAGGGGGCTGCCGCGTCTGTCAGGGTGCTGCGGACAAAATCAGAGCAGAAGCTCTGCGACCCCACTGGACTTCCCAACACCCGCACCCCCTCGCGGGTGAGGGGAAGGCCCATGGGGAGTACGTCCCCTCTTAGCGGCACGGTGGACCACGCCGACGACTTCCTAAAGTTGCAGGTGAGACTGTCCTGTGCCAGCAGCGGCGTGAGCTCTCTGAGCACTTCCAGCGTCGCCGCCGCGGGTCCAATCATGGTTATGTCGTCCGCGTAAGCGAGGACCGTGACTTCGGGGTGCTCCGCTGCTACGTGCCTGAGGTGCTGCTGGATAGACGCTGCAAATAACAGAGGTCCGAGGGGATCCCCCTGTCTGACTCCCCTTCCGCTGGTGAGTGCGGTGGAATTGAAGCATGGGTCCAGCAGCAGTGGTGAAGATGCTGCGTAGAAAGAGCGTGTGAAGGGGATTAGGGGAGCTAGTGGGGAGCCGATGAGTGTGTTGAAGAACGCGCTCCTCTCTACTGAGTTGAACGCGTTCTCAATGTCGAGCTGGAGTACTAGGCTGGAGGGCTGCACCGTGGTGAGGTCTCGGACAGCATGGATGACAAATTCTGCACCTCCAGGGACTGCCACGCCAAATTGCTGAGGTAGGAAAAAATTTCGCGTTTCTCCTTGTAGATCTGAGAGCGCCACCTTCGTCGCCAGCCTAAGCAATGACTCTCCAATCGCAATGGGATGTACCCCCCCCCCTGGTTTGGCGAAGGCTATAAGGCGGGACGGGGCAAGTAGTGCTGCGTCTTCAGTGGAAAGATTTGTCGAGAGAAGATGCGTAACGGCGGAGTGGAGGTGCCCTAGTACCTCGATGTTACTTAGCGCTGGATCGCGGTAGTGTTGGAAAGTTGACCCCGATGGGCCAGCCCCAATTCCCCTGGGGCATTCTTCAAGGACGTCGGAAAAGCGTTCCAGAGTGGTTGAGAATTGCGTGGGTGTGGTGTAGGAATGCACCCACTCGGGCAGGTCATTTTGGGGTTGGGGGTGTTTCGATTCCAGCTGCTGTAGTGTCGCAATTGTCGCAGGTGCTGAAGGCGAGGGTTGTAGGGCTGCTAACGCCTTTCGCAGGTTACCCCGTTTCACCAACCCCTCCGCACGTGAGCAGATTCCCAATGGGTCACGTTGGTGCTGAGGTGGTTCGGCCAGGTGCATTGACCCCAAGTAGTCAGTGTACAGCTGGGTCTAGAGGCCACATCGGAATAGATGCATCTGCTCCCGTAGTAGTTTCCATCTAGAGCTGGATCTCCGGCTAAGTCTTAGCGTGAGACGTGGCAGGAACATGAGGACCCGCCATGCTCCCGCGCAGTTAGGCAACTTGGAGATCCGAAGTAGGGCAGCCAGCATACAGGTGGAGTAGTCGCTGAGGATCTACGGCGGCAGTCGGCGGACGATTGGTAGGTGGGTGGTGGAGGTTAGGAGTGTAAGGTCCCAAGTCATCGCGATCTGGAAAAGATCCTCCCACGAGGCCAGCTGGGACGCCGATAGTGCCTGGTCCGGGGGAAGCTGAGCCCTGCGATGCTGTCTGCGGCCGGTTCCTCTCTCCTGTTGCTGCGCTTGCCCCTCTCCTTGTTCCGCGTGAGGTGAGGCGGGATCGTCTGGTTGCCTCAGATCGGACGGTATATAATCGTCTCCACTCCCCTCTGTGTTGATATCCCTGTTTCTCCCCGCTTGCGCTGGTGTTCCTCCCCTCGCCCCCCACCTGGCGAATGACTGGCGCGTGACTCGTTCCGCCGGCTCCCCCAACCAGATTGGGCTCGGCAACTGGCAGGGCGGTCCCCTTCCCGCTTGGCCTGTGCTCCTCTGCCCTCCGCGCGCTCCTCGTCGCCCGCCTCTCCCCTGCGTGCTTCCCCGTCCGCTCCGCGGGGTAGTTGCCACAGGTTCCGCTTGTTGCGCCTGGGAGATCGGCGTTGTCGGCTCCTCGTGTGCCAGTGAAGCGTCTTGAGCGTTGGCCAATGGATTTCCTTGGCGCTCTTGGCCGCGACTGCACCGCGGAGAGCGATCCTGCTCCCCGTCCGCTTCCTTCTGCACGCCCTGCCGCGAGCGTGCCTGTTGCTCCGCCGGCGTCCGCTGACCAGATCCGCCGCCGCTTCGAGTACCAGCGGCGCGAGTTGGCTCCGCGCGCGGGCAGGTCCTTGTCACCGCGGAAGCCCCCGCGCGCGGGGTTCGTCTTGCGACCCGGCGCAGAGGCTGTGGCGCACCAGGAGCGTTCGCCTCGCTGTCGCTCATCGGCAGCTCGCAACGATAAGCGGGAGAGCCGCCGCGATGATCGTCACGGTGCGGCCCGTTCGCCGCTGTCGCCTCGTTCGCCTCGTCGCGTGGCGTCGCGAAGCCGATCCCGTGACCGCTGTTCGCATCGTCATCGTTCGCCCCCTCACCGTTCATCTCGCCAGCGGTCGCCTGCCCGCCAGACGTCTGGGCGTCGGCCCCCAGCTCCGCGTTCGCCCCCTCCTGCTAAGCGCCAACGGCTCTACTCCCCTCGTCACGGGGACCGTTTTCCTGGCCGCCAGCGTCAGCAGGGCCCATCTCGCCCGTAGTCGCTTGTGCGCTCGAGCGCAAGTAGGCGTGCGCATCGTGGGCGACGGGGGGGTGACAGCCGCAGCGGAAAAGCGCGTCCAGCGCCGTCTGCAATGGAGCGCCGTCTTCTGGATAGGCTTGATGACGTGGAGAAGGAGCTTCGTCGCTCGCGTGCGCGGTCGGCGTCACCATCAGCTCCTCGCGCTGCTCCCGTCGTCCCTCTCTCCGTGCTCCTGCCCCACAATCCCTTTGGATCCCCGGCGCGTTCAGAGCGGCCGCTGCCTGCAGGGATAGGCTTCGTAGGTGCTGGTGGCGGGCCGCCGTGGGCTCAGTTTGCTCCGCCGCGTTCTCTTCCTGCTCCGCGTGATCTCGCCGTGTCGTCTCACTGTGCCCGCGCGTCTGCGTTACTTCCGCCGATGAAGGAAGTTCCCACGGCGACCCTGGCCCGCCTATGGTCGCTGGCGGCGTCCCTGCAGAGCCTTGAGCGGATTCTCCAGGAGTCATTTGACTCCATGCCGGTGAGCCCTCCGAGCAGGTTCTTTCAGAAACCGCGAGCAGATTGTCATGCGGCGGCGTCAGCGCTATTCGCGCTCGTAACACCACTGCAGGTAGCGCCCTCGCCGGGAGCAACCTCGGCCAGCCAGCTGGCTGACTCGGCCCTGGCTCTGAGGACGCTTGTAGCAGGCCCTGGTACTCCTGTTGACGTTGTAGGCGCCACCGTGTCTGTGGTCCGCCAGTTGTGGCTGAACACGAGCGGAATGCTCGCTGCGGTAGAGGGGGACCGCATGTAGGCGCTCCCCCCTTGCGCGTATAGACCCGTTCCATCCTCTACTTGCTAAGTGTCTATGCTTGCTTTGTTTGTATCGGTTGCCTAAGCTACTACTGCTTGTTGTTTCCCCTTGCCATCCCTAACGCACGGCCGAAGGCCGCCGGCGCGAAGCGCCAAAATTTTCAGCACTAACTGAAAGAATGAGAGATGGAGAGGCCGCCGTGGCCTTAAGTAGTCATGGCAGAGGGCAGAAAGCAGAGGGCAGAGGGTAGAAGGGGAGAGGCTAATCCTCTCTCTCTCTCTCTCTCTCTCTCTCTCTCTCTCTCTCTCTCTCTCTCTCTCTCTCTCTCTCTCTCTCTCTCTCTCTCTCTCTGCTCTGTCCGTGTGATGCTGCTCGCATCCTTCCCTCCCCGCCTTTTGCCCCACACTCCCCTGGGCCCCATCCATGCCACTGCACTGCCTCTCTTGCTGCTCCTCTTGCTGCCTCTCTTGCTGCCTCTTCCACTGCCTCGGTGCTACCTCTGCAGGATATGTGGAAGCGCAACGAGAGGCCCAAGGCAGTGGAGGACGATGACGAGGGCGGTGAGGACGGCAGGGGAGGGGGGAGGAGCCGCAAAGACAGGGAGAAGGAGAGGCGCAGGGAGAAGAAACGGGAGAAGCACAGAGACAGGGATAGGGAAAGGGATAGGGAGCGAGAGGGGGAGGAGGACGGGGAGAGGAGGGAGAGGAGGAAGGATAAGAAGCGGAAGAAGAAGAAGAAGCATCGCGAGGGGAGGGACAGGAGCAGGAGCAGGAGCAGGAGTGACAGGGACGAGGGGGGTGAGAGGGACGGGAGAGACGAGAGGGACGAGAGGCATGAGGATGAGAACCCGTGGGGCTCCGATGGGGAGAGAGGGGGTGGAGGGGAAGGGTCGGGAGATGAGGGAGGGAGTCCGAGGGGAGAGAGGAGGGGGAGAGGTGGAGGAGGCGAGGGGGAGGAGGAGGATGCCCTGGCTGCAGCTGGGCTGGTGGATGAGGAGGAGGAGGGAGGGGATGCACGGGGGGACGGCAATGACCAGGTGGGTGTGGCTCCCTCTGATCTTCTGCGCATAGTCCGCCTGTCCCCTGCTTCTTCCGTGCTCCCTTGGTCCTCTCGTTTCAGACCTGCTTGCTTATGTTTCATCCCTAAATATTTCTTACCGTACGTGTCTGTGCGTGTCCGTGCGTGTCCCTCCTGGCATGGCAGGGAGCCCCCGCTCGCAAGCGGCGCCGGCAGCTGGCAGATTCGGATGAGGAAGAGGCTGGTGGCGGTGCTGAGAGGGAGACACATGTGGTGGGCAGTGCGCCTGATGGCGGGGAGGAGGCACCCCCACCCCCCACAGGCGAGGCAGAGGGCATGCAGGAAGGGTGAGGAAGAGGCAGGTGGCGGTGCTGCTAGCAAGGCGCTTGAGGGGTTCTGCGCGCCAGCCCGCCAGCCCGCCAGTCCGATCTGATGGGACGCCATGTCTTTTTTCGTGCATAGAACCACGGGTGCGCGCACGCTCCCACTTACAAACACCTCCCATTTGGTTTACAACAGAATTTCTTCAATGTTGTGCATGGAAAATGCAAGTACCGTAGGTTTACAAGAAGGTGTGTTGTATTACCGGTACGTCCACCATTTCAAGCGTCGCCTGTGTGTTTTACTGCGCGTATGACTAGTTCATTGCAATATTATACCTTCAATGACAATATCCGATTTTTGTTTGGCAATCGCATGTACCTACGTGAAACTTAGGATGGGAGCTTAAACTTTGCAGGCATACTCTTATCATTCATTTGAGTGGGATGGATCAGGTGTAGTGAATGAGGAATAATGGTGCATCTGCTGACATAGTTCTGGTACAAACATGCTTCGGCAATATCTTTGGTGTGTTGTGCAAAACAACACGTCACCCATTGGATAGACAAAGCATCATTTCATGTCGACATGAAAGTTGCGCTCGGCCGTTCGATCAACCCGGTAGCTTGCAGATCGACAACCATCATCATGATATCATGCGCCATGTGGCAAATACAAGATGTCATGGCATTTGTGTCAAAAGCAAGCGCTTCTGACATCGGTTCCCCGCGCAAATGTTGCCGGCGGCCCAAATTGTTCATGCTTTTAAAAGTTGACCAGAGGGAGTTTTTCTGGTGTGGGCTTTGGCGAGAGTTTCCGATTTCGTCTAGGTTCGTTTTTTTCGCGAGACCCAGCCAACCCTCGGTTTTCCCCCTGGTGAGTGAATCTGTCTTCTAAAGTCCCAAATTGCAAGTGCGTGACTTTCAAAAGCTTGGACACTCAACTTGTCAAGTTTTGAAAGCTTGACCCTCGCGGCCCGCAATTTGGGACGCGGGTTTTAAGCAGCGGAACCGCCGTGCTGCAGAACTCAACTCAAAATTTCGCGAGGTGGGTGTCCTCATCCTCAAAGCTCTCACGAAAACCCAACCATCTGCCGATGGTACGGCGGCTTGGGAAACAGACCCTCCTCATTGCTGAGAAACCTTCTACACCACTCTGAATCCGTCTAAATCCTGGATTTCACCACTGAACAAGGAGTTGTCACTGATGCTTGTCTTCCTCTCTTCCTGAAGTCCGTTCTGCTTTCCTGAATGCCATTCCTTCTCACAAAAGCTCACCCATGGACTCCTTGAGAAGTAGCTCGCTACGCCAAAGTCCATGGCTGCCGCCAGTTTGTTACCAACCATGAATAATTCTCGTCTCGATCGTATTCTTAGTCTCCGTAATCATCATACATGTTGTTCTCAATGTCGTCAAGACGGAGATTACCGGTTGTTGCAATCCATGGCTCCCGACGCGAATCAGTAATAATTTAATCATCGTTACGAAATTTACCGAGCTTTGCGTCTGATGTTGTCGTAACAGAGACATTCTTAGCTTAGAAGCTATACATTCGGAGCAGTTTCATTACCGTCATCCACCCTTTACTCACAGTTGACTGCACTTCTGATTTCTGTTCTAGACATCTGACGAGCGCGGAACAGAGGTGGTTTCCCGAGGTTCCTTAAACATCTTCTTCCGAGGCGTCGTCGCTCTCCAGCAGCGAGAACGGTTCGATTTGGTAATGACCGAGGTTGATATCGTGCCGGCAACAGCTGCCCGAATGAGCTTACGGGGTTAGCTATGAGCATCTCGGACGTCGAATAGCTAGACGTCGTCATCTAACGGTAGTGACGGAGACGGTGTGTTTTGACGGTGGCGAACGATACGGCCACTTTCAACGGTGATAGCTGAGACGGTCAGTCACGGCCGCTTCTGACGGTGTTGAAAAGTACGATTAGTGCTGACGCTGACGACGGAACCGACAATTTCTGACGGTGACGATCAAGAGTACGATTACTGACGCTGACGACCGAGCCCGACGATATCTAGCAGTGACGATCGACATGATGACTACAAGTGGTGACGGTGAGACTTTCCGACGGTGACGACTAAAGCGACTCTTTCCGAAGGTGACGACCAGGATTGCGATTTGTCACAGTGACTATCAAAGCGATGCTTCTTCGACGGTGACGATTGAAGTGACGTTTTCCGACGGTGAAGATCAGGATTGCGAATTACGTTGACGATCAAGAGTGCGGCTTCTCACGGTGACCGATTTGACCCTTCTCCTGAAGCGACGCTTTCCGTCGGTAACGATCAAGATGGTAACTTCTCACGGCGACAATCGAAGCGCTGCTTTTCGAGACGCAAAACGCTGACCATAACAGAGGCGAATGCGACGCCCGGTCGGAATCGCATTAACAGCAACGAGTGACGCTCATCCGGAGCTGCAAAGTGGGCGACGAGGGACGCTCATCCGGAGCTGCTTCTGTCGCGTGGAAGCACTCGTCACACGGCTAAGTCCCCTTCTCATCTTTATCGCTTCTGGTCCGTGTTTATCAAATTTCACTTTGTACCGCGCTATTTCCTCGAAGCATTCTCGAAAATCAAAGAGTCGTTTTGAAATAGCGTTTGGCGATGGTAGCACATGGCACTTGGAAGGCTTGAGCTCATACTAAAGTCCTAGGAGGGTAGAGTAGAATGCATCCATACTCATGCGCGCGTCCCTTCCTTACCTTGTCCCCCTTGCCTGCTAGCTCGCTGCCCTTGTGCCGTGTGCTACCATCGCCTCCCCTTTCACAGTGTCACAGTGCTATGTGCTTTCTATCTTCAACTTTTGTTTCCGTTAATCATTCGTTCATGTTATCTCTGCCTCTTGCTATCTATCTTGCTTCGACTGACTACTCGAGTTCCTATCCCCCCGCTCGATCCTCTTGCTCTCCTTTCCTGCACCCATCTTGTCCGGTGCTTTGGCTGCGTGGTGCGGGGAGGGAGGTCAATGGGATGATGCACGGCAGGCAGTCACAGCAATGTGCGAGCCTCCTGGAAGCCTTACGCCACCGTCCTGCAAGCACCCCCATACGGCTAAGTTCCCTCTCCCTTCGCCCTTGCCATGCTTGCCGCTTCTGCTTCGTCTTTATGATTGCCCACTGTTGTACTGCGTTCCTTCGTCACCTCGTGCTCGAAACAAACGAGGTCACTTTCGAACGCGAGCGTTCAAAAGTTGAGAGAGAGATGAGCGGCGATTGGCGATGGTAGCGCATGGCACTGGGGCGGCTTGAGCTCATAGTAAAGTCGTAGGGGGTAGAATGCCCGCGTCTCTTCCTTACCTCGTCCCGCTTGCCTGCTAGCTCGCTGCCTTAGTGCTGTGTGCTACCATCGCCTCCCCTTTCACAGCGTCACAGTGCCACGTGCTTTTCAGCTTCAACTTTTGTTTCCGTTACTCATTTGTTCTTGTGATCTCTGCCTCCTTGCGTCCATTTCACTTCGCTCTTGCTCCCACTGACCACCTTGGGTTCCGTTCCCCCCCTCGACCCTCTTGCCCTCCTTTGCTCCACCCCTCTTTCCGGTGGCAGCGTGGTGCGGGGAGGGAGGGCGGTGGGATGACGCACGGCAGACAGTCACAGCAGTGTGGAAAGCGACGTGCGGAAAGCTACGTGCAGCTTCTGAATCCTGCTAAGTTCCCTCCTCGACCCTTGCACTCCTCCCTTGCCCCCACCCGTCCTTGTCGTTGCACCACTCTGTTGTGTTGCTGCATCCTGCGTTTCACGTCCGAAAGAAATGTGCTCCTGTGAGGCGCATGGCGGCGGTGGGTCAGGGCGCATTGGCAGCTGAGCTCATATAGAGTCCAGAGAGAGAGAGAGAGAGAGAGAGAGAGAGAGAGAGAGAGAGAGAGAGAGAGAGAGAGAGAGAGAGAGAGAGAGAGAGAGTGGGTGTAGCATAGAGTAGCAGTGCATTCATGCCATGCTCGCGTCTCTCTTCTCCCCAGTCCCCCCTCGCTGCCTTTGCTCGCTGCCGTGCTGCCCTTGGCCCCACCGTCTCCATGCGCCTTCCCCTCCCACCTCTCCCCGACCACTAACTTGCCGTTCCGCTCTGCTCACCATTCACTGCATGCATGCTTGCCGTTTTTTGTTGCATGCATGCTTGCCGTTTTTTGTTGCATGCATGCTTGCCGTTTTATCCTTCTGCCACTTGCGTACCCCCTGCTTATGATATCACTTGTCGTCTCACCTCAACTCTCTGCTCCGTTAACGTGTGTCCCTCTTCTCCTCTCTTCCTGCCTGCATCCCTCTATCAGCGCACCTACAAGGCGGCAGGGCAGCAGCAGGGGGCCAGGAGGAGCAGTGGGAGCAGCGTGGTGAGCGGGAGAGGCGAGCGGTGGGATGCCGCACGGCCTGGGCTGGCCCTGCTGACCACTGCTGCCGAGTTGCTGGACTACTGCACGGAGGGCTGCTGCTGGCCGTGTCAAGATCCCTCTGCTCCTCATGCGACTGCTCGTCACCCGGCTAAGAGTTCCTCATACCCTGTCTTCTTCCTGCTTGTTCTCCTTTCATCTTTCGCTTATCGAATCTTGCCCGAAACAAAAACGTTGCTTCTGCTTGGGAGGGATCAAAAGTTGACAGAGGGACATGGGCGGCGTGTGGCGATGGTAGCACATGGCACTGGGGCGGCTTGAGCTCACACTAGAGTCCTAGAGGGTTAGAATGCACTCACACTCACGCCCGCGTCTCGTCCCCCTTGCCTGCTAGCTCGCCAACCTAGTGCCATGAGCTACCATCGCCTACCCTTTCACTGTGCAACCTGTTGTCTAAAGCCAGGGTCTCATGTAAGCTAAGGAGCCATCGACTGCAAAGCACTTGAAGCTAGGTAACCAAGTTCGTGCTGGCAAAGTTGTCTCTGGTTGGGTTGGAAACTCAGCTTGCGTCACTGCCCCAAAAGCAATTGCACAACACTTTTGGGTACTTGAGACTTTCGATGAGTTGGGGGCATTTTAGGTTTGGCTCCGAACCAAGTTTCCAAGCCTAGATGGTTTGGTTACCCCCAGCGATTTACGTTTGCTTCGCACCCCTCGCTTCACCCCACTTCGAACCTTACAACTCGCCAACCAATCAAAGCCACACTTTCACCATCAATTGCAAAGCACTTGTAGTGCGTGAGACCCTGGCTTTAACTTCCAGCTTTTACTCTCACAGTATTATGCCTCCGTTTTTTTTTCCTCCCGTTATCCCTGCCGCTTTACAATTTGTCAATCACACCCATGCTTATCTTAGACTAACTTCTTCAATTCCTGCCCCCTTCTGCCTTCTCTCCTCTCTCCCACTCGCTCCTTTCCCTCTCCGACACTTCCCCCCTCTTGCACAGGGCTGTGGCAGCGTGATGCGGGGAGGGAGGGGCGGTGGGATGACGCACGGCAGGCAGTCACGGCGGCGTGCGTGCCTCCTGCATGCCCTGCTGACCACGCCGCTCCCTCACGCGCGCAGCGACCTTGAGTGCTGCTGCTGGGAGTGTCGCTGCTGGGAGGGCTGCTGCTGGCATTAACAAGGCGACGAGCAGCTTCTCAATCCCGCTAAGTTCCCTCCTCAACCCTTGCCTTCCTTACCGCCGCTTTACCTTGTAATTCGTGTTCACATTTGCTTAGCCTCTCTTTTGAAGCATGCTTCAAACCATAACGCCGCCTTCGCTTAAAGGTATTCAAATGTTCGCGTGGCGATGGTAGCACATGGCACTGGGGCGGCTTGAGCTCACACTAGAGTCCTAGAGGGTTAGAATGCACTCACACTCACGCCCGCGTCTCGTCCCCCTTGCCTGCTAGCTCGCCAACCTAGTGCCATGAGCTACCATCGTCTCTCTGTTTTCATTGCATCCTTCCACCTGGGTTTCAGTTCTGAATTCTTCCAGTTTTGCCTTTTCTTCATTTGTCGCTTGTAATCATCTTTCTCTGCTTTATTCCATTCCTGGACCAGATTACGGCATCCTCTACCCTCTCACCAGCCCATTCCCTGGTTCCAGGACAAAACGACTGCAACACTCAGGAGCATCCCTTCAAGAGCAACACTCCGAGAGCAACTCTTCGAGAGCCAACCCTCGGAGAGCGAAACTCGACACAGATGTGGCCCATCCAGCCTCTGGTTCGACACCAGCACTTGTTTCGCATTCACGCATTCATCCGTTCTTGCTTTGATTAATACTCCTGTTTTCCCGTTGTGTCCTTCATTTGCATTTCATCTCCCTGCCACTTTCACCTCCCCTACCTGCTCCCTCCACCCACTCCCTCTCTCTATCCATCTCAGTTAAGCAGCGTGAACTCAATTGGGGTGGAGGGGTGCAATGTTGCAGTGCCTGAGGGTGCTGCTGATGGCACAGCGCGGTGCCACTGGTGAGGGAGATGACTCGCTGCTCTGGTGAGAATCTTCATCTGGCAGGACTCGCTGCTCTGGTGAGAATCTTCATCTGGCGGGACTCGCTGCTCTGGTGAGAATCTTCATCTGGCGGGACTCGCTGCTCTGGTGAGAATCTTAATCTGGCGGGACTCACTGCTCTGGTGAGAATCTTCATCTGGCGGGACTCGCTGCTCTGGTGAGAATCTTCATCTGGCGGGACTCGCTGCTCTGGTGAGAATCTTCACCTGGCGGAAATACAGGGCAGCGCCTAACTACAGGCTAACCCCACTCTGACTACAGAGCAGCGCCTAACTGCAGGTACGCTAACCCCACTCTGACTACAGGGCAGCGCCTGACTACAGGTACGCTAACCCTACTCTGACTACAGGGCAGCGCCTAACTACAGGTACGCTAACCCCACTCTGACTACAGGGCAGCGCCTAACTACAGGTACACTAACCCCACTCTGACTACAGGGCAGCGCCTAACTACAGGTACGCTAAACCCACTCTGACTACAGGGCAGCGCCTAACTACAGGTACGCTAACCCCACTCTGACTACAGGGCAGCGCCTGACTACAGGTACGCTAACCCCACTCTGACTACAGGGCAGCGCCTAACTACAGGTACGCTAACCCCACTCTGACTACAGGGCAGCGCCTAACTACAGGTACCCTAACCCCACTCTGACTACAGGGCAGCGCCTAACTACAGGTACGCTAACCCCACTCTGACTACAGGGCAGCGCCTAACTACAGGTACGCTAACCCCACTCTGACTACAGGGCAGCGCTCAACTACAGGTACGCTAACCCCACTCTGACTACAGGGCAGCGCCTAACTACAGGTACGCTAACCCCACTCTGACTACAGGGCAGTGCCTAACTACAGGTACGATAACCCCACTCTGACTACAGGGCATTTTGAGGGGATAGGAGGGGTCAGTTTGATATCCTTTATCTGCTGTGTTCCTTGGTCTGTTATGTAGTACAGGGTGTAGAATGCATGTCTTTGCTTGTCACCGTAACCTGTAGTTTGGAAATTATCGCTTATCGCACTGCTTGTTTATTGATTTAGGATAGAGAGCAGAGGAGGAGAGGCAGCAGAGGAGGAGAGGGAGTAGAGGAGGAGAAGCAGCAGACGAAGATACATGGAGAGGATAGGGAGCAGCGGACGATGCATGCAAAGGAGGAGAGGGCACTGAGGCGGAGGAGAGGGAGCAGAGGAGGTCACTGCTGCACACATGGTAAGGTTCGCCTTATGCTTTGATTCTATGGTTCTTTTTCCTTCATCTTGTTCTCGTTTCAACTTGTTTTCGGTTTCCCTGATCTCCTGACCTGAAGTTCTTCTCTCATACCAGCCTCTTCTCCTCCGTAGGCTGTTAGACTCTGGCTTTTACTCTATCGTCCTCGTTCCTTCTTGTTCTCCTTGTTCTTCTCAGGTGTTCAGGAACAGAGGAGCACGTACGGGAGCAGGCAAGTGGGAGCAGATATGCAGGAGCAGATATGAGGGAGAAGACTGTGATGTGGTGAGTCTCCTCTGACAGATCCTCTTCCTTTGCGTTCGCTGTGGCCTGCTCTTCGGCTCTTCCTCTCCACTTTCATCACATTCCTTATTTCTCGGCTCTTCCCCTCCTCTTTCCTCACATACCTATTTCCCTCGTGTTTCCTCCTTCAGAGGTGATTAGCAGCAGTGGACGGAACAACATATTGGCAGCAGCATTGGAGCACGAGGGTGCACGAGAATAGCACGTGCTTTGAGGCCTTTTCTTGTGGTGGGTTTCTGCTCCCACCCCTTTTCTCTTCTGCACCACACTTGCATGGCGCGCCAATACCCCTTCCAACATCGCACTTCTTGCCCATGTCTCTTAGTCCTTCGCATTTTATTCCTGTTTCTCTCTGTCTGACAACATAAATTCGCTGTGGCTGATTCAGTAACAAAATGGAACCATAAGCATTATCCTTTACCATCCACATGCCCGTGTCCTTGATCCTTTTTCTCTCGCTGCTTTGTTTCTCTCATGTGCCCATCTCTCTCTCTCCCTGCTTCGTTTGGGGTGTGTTGCTGACATAACAGGGTTGGACTGGTGAGGCAGGGGTGGAGAGTAAGGTGGTGGAACCAAATGGAGTGGCCAGCAGATGACGAGCTCATTGTTTTCATGTCATACATGATTCTAACATGTAGAGAAGATCTAATTATGTTTGCATTGCCTCCTCTCGTTTGCTCGCAGACAATAGAACCAGCTCCGTGTGGAAGCCACGAAGGAAGATGAAGACCTTGCTAGAGCTGAAACAAATAGGATAGAATAGGTTATCTAGACAACCTAGTAACCCTCTGAGATATGGTATCCCCCCCTCTCCCCCTGCATAGCCCCCCCACGCCCCTCCTCCCCTGTTCCTTCCCCACCGGACGCACCCACCTCAGCAACCCCCTGCGTAGGGCCTACCGTAACCACAGGGCTAACAACAGGGCAACAGGTCTAACCACAGGGCTAACAACAAGGCAACAGGTCTAATCACTGGGCTAACAACAGGGCTAACAACAGGGCAACAGGGCTAACCACAGGGCAGTACGGCTAACCACAGGGCTAACCACATAGCTATCAACAGGGCTAAGGACAGGGCTAACCACAGAGCTGTCAACAGGGACACAGAGCTAACCACAGGGTAACCACAGGGTTTATCACAGAGCTCAAGCCTATTGGCATACCGTAAGGCCCCGGATTGAAGCGCAGGCCTCGGATAAGCGCCGGCGCTAATAAAAGGATGGGAGCGCTTATATCCGGTCCTCGATCATAATCGCACCCCTGAAGGCTTATGGATTATGAGCACCACCTCTAATTGTTGTATTTATAATCTTACTGAAATCGTTGTAACAAAACTCACATTTTCATTCCCCACATTTTGAATCTCGATACCCTTCACCTCGCTTGGCTCATCTCGATACCCACAGTCAGAATGACCTGTCAGGGGCGTAAGTTGACTCATTCTGACTGTTTGTGCTGGCAGGGAAGCATTCCCTGCCAGCTTGTCCGAGCGAGATTCTCAATCACAGACCTGTAAAGTTTCTACTCGATTCAAAATGCAAAAACGAGATCTACAGTTGTCTAAAAAATACGCATTTCATATATGTCATAATATAAGCACCGGCGCTTATAAATTTCCTCAATTATAAGCGCACCCCATAAAAAACAGTGTTTTATTACAACCCCAGGGGCGCTTCTATCCAGGGTATGACGGGTAGTAATCACAGGTTTGTGCACCAGAGCACACTGATCACAGAGCTGTGAATTTAGCATACTAACCACCAAGCTTGTGCTACAGGGCATACTGTCAAATGTTGTAGCCTGTAGTGAGGTTTGTCTTAGGGGGTACAAAAGTTAGGGTTTGTTATATGTACTCCAACCAACATCAATGGCATCATCATTCCTCATTTTGACATGGTATCAGCTAGGTTAGGATCATGTGGGATCCCGTTCCTCCGTTCTCCGTTCGTCCCTCCCGAGCCTGATCCTACCTCTCGTTCGTACCGGTTCCGTTGTTACCGCGCCTAGTACCGAGCCTAGCGCCCTCTCCCCCGTCGCTTAGCGCCCTTTCTCCCCGTCGCCTAGCGCCCTTTCCCCCCCCCGTCGTGTCGCGCCCTTTCCCCCCGTCGCCTAGCGCTCTTTCCCCCCGTCGCGTCGCGCCCGTTCCCCCCCATCACGTCGTGCCCCGCCCTTTCCCCCCCGTCCCGTCGCCCTGTCCCGTCGCGTCGCCCTGCCCCATCCCGTCGCCCTGCCCCGTCGCGTCGCCTGCCCCGTCCCGTCACCCTGCCCCGTCGCGTCGCCCTGCCCCGTCGCGTCGCCCTGCCCCGTCCCGTCACCCTGCCCCATCGCGCGCCCTGCCCCGTCGCGTCGCCCTGTCCCGTCCCTACGCCCTGGCCCGTCGCCCTACCCTACGCCCTGGCCCGTCGCCCTACCCTACGCCCTGGCCCGTCGCCCTACCCTACGCCCTGGCCCGTCGCCCTACCCTACGCCCTGGCCCGTCGCCCTACCCTACGCCCTGGCCCGTCGCCCTACCCTACGCCCTGGCCCGTCGCCCTACCCTACGCCCTAGCCCGTCGCCCTACCCT